GCTCCTCCACATGCAGCTGCTGGGTGACCTTGGGCTAGTCATGCTTCTCTGAAGTCTCTCAGCCCCACTCACCTCACAGAGTGTTTGTTGTGAGGGAGGAAGGGAAAGGAGAATGTTAGCCGCTTTGAGACTCCTTAGGGTAGTGATAAAGCGGGATATCAAATCCAAACTCTTCTTCTTCTTCTTCTTCTTAACCCGAGGTATTATTTCTGGGTTAGCGAACCTGAAGCGTATGTAACCTAAAGTGAATGTAAGCTGAGGGACCACTGTATACTATAGTTTTATATTATTTCTAGTTTGTGGTGCCATTCTCTGTGGCGAAAAACGCCCCCCATCCTAAGAAAAAATAACCACAATATCGTGACGGTGTGTGCAAGCTGTACATTTCAAGCACATCTTCCCCACCCCAAAGAATCCTGTGGACTGTTCACCCCATACGGAGCTACAATTCCCAGCGCCCTTAACAAACTTCAATTCCCAGGATTCTGTGGCAGAAGTCATGTCCTTCAAATGTATGGTGTGTCTCTTTTTGTCTCTAATATAGCACGGAAATGGAAAGACCCTAATCTGTGCTAAGAAGACATTCATCATTTAATGAGGGCCACAGCACAGACACTGACACATTTTGGAAAAGGGTTTGGTAAGCTGTAGTTTAAGCACTCTAGCGCAAAGCTAAAACACTACAATGGTTGTCCGGACAACGACTTCAAAACTTTTTCTAGTATTTAATGCCGTTAAGTCCCACGGAACCTAGGACTAGCCCCTGGCTGACTTAGAGAGGGTTTTCTAGAACCAATATGGTCACCTTTCACAGCATGCGACGATGAATACAATGCCATACATTCTTGTCCTATGATGCATTGTGCGTGAGCGCCGGACTCGAAATAGCCTATAGACACAACTTCACATATTGATAACAAACAATCTTCAAATGGGAAAGGAAGACAGGCATTATTTTGCCACATCCTTGGGATGACTCCTTGACTGAGAAACAGGATGCTCTGCATGCGATTCTGGCAGGGAGGGCTATGACTCAGTGATAGCCAAACCTGGCCCTCCGGCTGTTTTGGGACTACAACTCCCATCATCCCTAGCTAACAGGACCAGTGGTCAGGGATGATGGGAACTGTAGTCCCAAAACAGGGCCAAGTATGGCCATCACTGGGCTATGTTCTCCACTCCCTACATCTGCCTCCTTCCCAAGTGTCGCTAGGTGAAAAAAGGAAGAAGTAGTGATATCATCATCATTAATCTGTGGAATTTCCATGCCTTGAAATAGGCATAGCATGATTCAATTACTTTCAGGAGGTTTACACGAACACTGAAAAAAAGTCCTGCTCCTCATATAAATATTTCTATCATGGTAAGACACATTCGCATTCAGCACTCCCATCTGTTCTTCAAGTGTCGAGAAGCATGAGCAGACAGAGACCATTGTTATGTCAATGAAGGAAGATGGCAGCAGGGTTGCGTGTGTTTTTTTAAAAAATAATTAAACGCAGAATGCCTATGAATGAATGGTACAGCACTAATTCTAAGAGAGAGCTATTCATCTTGAAACTGTTCATTGCTATGGGGGGGGGACCACCTGAAACTCATGAATAGGCATAATGAAAGCTTAGCCAACTCTTCCTCATTTCCTCTGTTGTAGAGGATAAAAAAAATGATAATTTAAAACCCAATATTTCAATTTAAGATTTTCATTCAGAGTTTAAGAAATGAGATGCAAAGGTTTGTTGCTCCATTCATCCGTGCATCCTCATTCTGTTTTTCAATCTCTCTCACTCTTGCGATTCTTCTCAGTGTGTTTTTCCTTCATTTCCTTTAATCATCTTTGATTCCTCATGCTTTTTCTGCATCAGTCGCCATCTATTCCATGGCATTAAGTTCGATCTCCCCCATATATGCACTGCCTAAGATTTTGTTCTGCTTTCAGAATGCCTCATTAGATTATGCCGGTGTGTTCCTGAATACCCATTCCTTCGCTGTGTGAAACTCTTCGCTGAGAAGGTACAGGTGGGGTTTTTAACATCCTGATAATTAAAAATAGCAGGGGGCATAAACAGCTCGAAAGACAATGAGAACTCATAGGCAGGGCCACCCAAATACATTTTGGGGAACGTTTGAGGGAATGTTCTTTCATATGTGGTGGAATTGTAAAAGGGTAAAAAGGTACATTGGGAAATGATCCATAACAAAGTGAAAAAAATATATTTAAAAGTACTTTCCCCCCAAAAAACAGAGTCCTTTCTGTTGGGGATAATTCAGACTGAAATTCCCAGGTGTCAAAAAAGGTTATTTATGTATGCTACTACTGCGGCCCATGTTTTGTTAGCCCAAAATTGGAAAACGAGTGAGGTCCCAACTAAAGAAGAATGGCAACTTAAGTTGACAGAATATGCGCAGCTTGCAGACTTAACATATAGAAGAAGAGAACAAGAAGAACATATGTTTAGAGAAGATTAGGAAATGTTTATTGAATGTATGGGAAATAACCGTGTTTATTAAAATATAATTTAAAATGCAGCCTCATTTTAATAGTAGCCCATAAATCAAAACCATAAGGGGAGGGAAACATAAGGGTCAGACTGAGTCCAAACCAAAGGACAGGTGGAACAGCTCTGTCTTGCAGGCCCTGTGGAAAGATGTCAAGTCCCGCAGGACCCTAGTCTCTTGCGACAGAGCGTTCCACCAAGTCGGGGCCAGTACTGAAAAGGCTCTGGCCCTAGTTGAGATCAATCTAACCACCTTGCTGCTTGGGACCTCCAAAGTGGTTTTTTTGTGTGTGTGTGGACCTTAAGGTCCTCTGCAGGGCATACTAGGAGAGGCAGTCCCGTAGGTACGAGGGTCCTAGGCTGCACAGGGCTTTAAAGGTCAAAACCAGCATCTTAAACCTGAGCCAGTGCAACTGGTAAAGCACTGGATGAATGTGATCCCATGGCAAAGACCCCATAAGGAGCCTCGCCGTGGCATTCTGCACCCGCTGGAGTTTCTGGGTCAGCTTCAAGGGCAGCCCTGCATAGAGCAAGTTACAATAATCAAGCCTGGAGGTGACTGTCATGTGGATCACTGTGTACCACCCAGAACCGAGTTATCATCACCTTGTCCAGTGTCAACGATGCAGGTTACCTTATTGAAAAGCCTGGCAAGCGCTCAGTGTCTTGCCTCTTAATCTGTGTGAGAGAGAGATTCAGAAGCGCTGGTGTTTTCAAAGTGGATTAAGCCCTTCCAAATCTAATAGGTTTCCAATGAGCTGAGCTGGTGCTGCAACAGCTGCTCTAATTTGAGAATAAAAGAATGCAGGCTTTTGTGGCGAGGGATCCGCTATTGATCAGCCGCAAGGTTAGGAGACCAGGAGGGGAGGGCAGTTCTGCCTCTTTTAAAGTGGTGTGTGTGTGTGTGTGTTTTCAGGCTCATTATCTAGCAACAACAACAAAGGCCATTCCCATCGTACAAGCTGCTCTCTGCAGGATTGCACTTGTTGAAGGTTAATAGCATGCATGCAGTCATCCGAATTCAGAGCCCTCCGCCATTTCTTGCAACGGGCTTCATTGTGGGCTCACAAAACAGAACAGATGGGTCTCCAGAACTTCTGCTGATGGGATGGACCCCTTGGCCCACCATCTGAGTCCTACCTCGTCCGAAGCCTTGTGCGCATTAGCATATCAAATGCACAGATTCCTCAGCACGTGCTTCCAATAAATATCCTGGAAGGAGGTGGGAAGGAAGCGACAGATTTGAATTGCAAACAGAAGGGTCTAAACAAGGTTGATGAACTCTTGCAACCCACCCCCAACTACAACGTAGGCTTAGGCACAATCAAAGAGCGCGAGCTGATCTAGCTATTTACTCCTTCCACCTACCACAGGCCAACTGAATCCTGCAATTCCAAAATATGAAATAAAAACATTGGTCATAAGAGTTGCTAAGCTGGCCAGCAATGGGACAGGGTCGGGGGAGAAGTAATTGGATTAGTTTGCGTGCCGTTATCAGCAATTTGATTTGCAGAAATTAAGCAAGCGTAGCTTTTCCTTCTCACTCATCTTCGTGGAAGGAGCAGCTTCAGATTCGGAATGGATGTGAGGTTGCTGGGGGAAGACAGAGGAATAAGTCTATATAAGATAGATGGAACGGAAGGAAGGAAGGAAGGGCAGCGATGAAATTAGCTGCCATTCTAAGATATATGAGGGGGATTCTCCTAACGAACTCTGTCAGCAGAAGTCCTGTGCAAGGAGGGATTGTTCCATCTGGCAAGTTGATATGCTTGCGCAGAACATTTGTAATAGCACAACACTGAATTGCAACCTAAATTTCACACCCAAACTGGTGGAAGAAGATATAAGCTTGGTGTAGCTGCATGTACCACCCCCGCAATAAGCTACGAATTTTTGCTTGACAACATCCTGCAAGCTGAACAAAAGTGTAATATTCAGTGTTTTTCTTCTAGAAAAAACGGTTCCGGTACTCACCATGAAGTTGTTAAAGTAAGTGCCACACTTTTAACCAGTGCTTTTCTTCTAGAAAAATAAAAAAGTGGCCGGTGCTGAGTACCCCCTCCCCCTCGAAAAAAAGCACTGGTAAAATTAGAGTTTAGCATCTTATTTTGGGCAGTGAATAAGAAATTGTATGTTTATTTGGTGAAACTCAATACAGTGGCACCTCAGGTTACATACGCTTCGGGTTACAGACTCCGCTAACCCAGAAATAGTGCTTCAGGTTAAGAACTTTGCTTCAGGATGAAAACAGAAATTGTGCTCCGGCGGTGCGGCGGCAGCAGGAGGCCCCATTAGCTAAAGTGGTGCTTCAGGTTAAGAACAGTTTCAGGATAAGAACAGACCTCCGGAACGAATTAAGTACTTAACCAGAGGGACCACTATAATTTCTAATCTTATGGTGTTACGGTACAACAACTTCCAGATTTCTTTTCCAACATTTTATTAAATTTAAATTTTTGTGATTTTAATTTTGAACGAAAACAAGAGAGGAAAATAAACAAGATGGATCACACAATAGGGATAACAAAATTTAAGCAACTTTCCATATCCTACTTCCATCTGAAGCACGTTCCCTTTTTCACTGAAGCAACTGTGACACTCTTCACAGGCACCGCTGGGTATTTCATCAATTTCGTAGTATTTCAAGTCAAAGATTTCAATTTCAGGTATTTCAAGTCAAAGATGGTCTGGATTGGGTCAGAAGCATCACTGAGAGGATCAAGTCCAAGAAATGTCAGCTCAGTATAGTGCAGTCATGTGCATGTTTAGTCACAAGTAATAAGAATATTTTTATTATTATTATTTATACCCTGCCCATCCTGCTGAGTTTCACCAGCCACTCTGGGCAGCTTATAAGCAAATCCCATTGTTTTCAGTGGAATTATCTTAAATGCAAGTCTGGTAGGAGTTGCATATATTGAAAGCTCCGTTCAAATGTAAATATAGCATAATGACAGCAGCTTAAAATATGAAAATACATAAAGTATCTAGCTTTTAATGATACATTATCCTACTTACAATCTGCTACCTATGTCACAAAATAATTTTATTGCTGTCTTGCCGCAGCCAAGACAAGGGTGACCACACTCTGAGTAATTTCCATATTAGTCCTAGCAAGCAAATATTCCATTTTTCGTCAACTAGACCCCCTGTTTCTTATCCTCTAAAAAACAGAGGGGGAAAACTATTCCACACATTTTCCAGAAATGGACTAGCAGGACATATAGTGCAGAATATTTTTGTTACCTCCTCACCACAAATGCAATGGCCTGTGTTGCAAATCATGTTACCATATCGAATACAGCAGAAGCCATTTGTCAAAATCTTAACCAAGTTCAAAATTCTCTCCAAGTAGACCCTGGCTGGGACCAGTGAATTGACTACCACATCCCACCCACCAAGAAGGCTGTCAGAAATAGCTTCTTAACCATCCATGTTTTCATCAGCAGAATCAGGATTCAGTAAGGTGCAGAAGCAGAAACAAGTACTGTTCAGTGGTACCTCAGGTTAAGTACTTATTTCGTTCCAGAGGTCCATTCTTAACCTGAAACTGTTCTTAACCTGAAGCACCACTTTAATTAATGGGGCCTCCTGCTGCCGCTGCGCCACCGGAGCACAATTTCTGTTCTCATCCTGAAGCAAAGTTCTTAACCCGAAGTACTATTTCTGGGTTAGCGGAGTCTGTAACCTGAAGCGTATGTAACCCGAGGTGCCACTGTATATAGAAATGAGCAAACCAGAGCAAACCAGGCAGCAGGCTAGCAGGCGGGGCCCATTACTTACATCATAGAATCATAGAATCATAGAGTTGGAAGAGACCACAAGGACCATCTAGTCCAACCCCCTGCCAAGCAGGAAACACCTAGGAGCCTACACAACACAAAACACTGTCGCTGTATGTAGGTTTTATTTTATTTGTTTTTTATCTTATATTTTGGAAATGTACATCCAGTTTTTTTCTTTAAATTTTTTTGGGGGCCCCCAAGAGATTGGGGCCCTAAGCTATAGCTTGTTTAGCTTATACGTAAATGTGACACTGACAATATAGGATGATACGGGTTTTCCCTCGGTCAACTCTTCATTGTCTGAAGATGCTAAATGTTCCTATGACCTGGGAGTGGGGAAGTGGAATCTTAAATAGCAACTGCAGGTCGGACAGAGGGTTTTTCTTTTGCCTGACTTGTGAGAGGGCGCTGACTTATCCTAAAAGCTAAAGATGAAAAAGGCAAAGGTCATCCCAATCTGGGACTGTTCTGGAAAATAGGGGCATTTGGAGGGTCTGGGGTCCACATAGGCATTTGGTTGGCTTTTGAGAGAAGTGGATGTTGGATCAAGACTCTTATGTTCTGAATTGGATGAAGCCGCCATGTTGTTGTTTTTTCCCCCCTGGCAGGGCCCAGTAGGCCTTTATTATGAGAGGCAAACACCCAACAGGCACAGTTAGGATTTTCTGCCTGTGGTGCAGATCCTAGCGGAGAAGTAAATGCCAGCCATGCATCTAATCCCTTTACAAGGAGTTAAAGCTACTGTATGTCAAGGTGTGCTTTCATGAGGAACATGATGAGCAAGGCTTCCTTTTTAGTTCAAGAGGCCTCCCTAAGTGCCCCGGGGCCACTTTTATCTTGCTCTTCTGCTGAAACCGATCCCCTTCACTCGAATGAATGTGACGGTGTCAAATATAATGATAGTGCCTTATCCAGCTTCATGGTTGACTGACGTGCATTTCAGAGCAGCACATTCCACCCGAGGAGCCCATTTGCACAGCCGAGTGATCTAAACTTGAAAGCTAATTTCTGTAATTACCAAGTGTGATTGAACTCCGGCAAAAGTTTTCATCGCCTGCGCGGGATGGGAATTTTGCCTCCATTGCCGCCGCCACCACCTTGCACTTGCGGGAAGGAACTAATTGGAAGGGATTTAACTGGTGGTCCCCGCTCCCCTTAACTACATATTGAACAAATGGGGAAATCAGGATCCATAATTAGAAAGTCAAATGAATTGTGGAAGCTTTCGCAAGAAGGAAAGGGTTATGTGCCAAACGGGAGAGATCATCAGGGGGTTTGGGCTGGGTGTTCATCAGTATGCGGATGATACCCAGCTCTACCTCTCTTTTAAATCAGAACCAGTGAAGGTGGTGAAGGTCCTGTGTGAGTGCCTGGAGGCGGTTGGAGGATGAATGGCGGCTAACAGATTGAGGTTGAATCCTGACAAGACAGAAGTACTGCTTTGGGGGACAGGGGTCGGGCAGGTGTGGGGGACTCTCTGGTTCTGAATGGAGTAGCTGCGCCACTGAAGGACCAGGTGCACGGCCTGGGAGTCATTTTGGACTCACAACTGTGCATGGAGGCACAGGTCAATTCTGTGTCCAGGGCAGCTGTCTTCCAGCTCCATCTGGTATGCAGGCTAAGACCCTACCTGCCTGCAGACTGTCTCGTCAGAGTGATGGATGCTCTAGTTATCTCCCGCTTGGACTACTGCAACGTGCTCTACGTGGTTCTACCTTTGAAGGTGACCCAGAAACTACAACTAATCCAGAATGCGGCAGCTAGACTGGTGACTGGGAGTGGCTGCCAAAACCATATAACTCCAGTCCTGAAAGACCTACATTGGCTCTCAGTACATTTTCAAACACAATTCAAAGTGTTGGTGCTGACCTTTAAAGCCCTAAACAGCCTCGGCCCAGTATACCTGAAGGAGCATCTCCACTCCCACCATTCAGCCAGGACACTGAGGTCCAGCGCCAAGGGCCTTCTGGTTGTTCCCTCCCTGTGAGAAGTAAGGTTATAGGGAACCAGGCAGAGGGTTCTTCTTGGTAGTGGTGCCCGCCTTGGTAGTGGTGCCCGCCTTGTGGAACGCCCTCCCATCAGATGTCAAGGAAATAAACAACTACCTGACTTTTAGAAAACATCTGAAGACAGCCCTGTTTAGGGAAGTTTTTAATGTTTGATGTCTTATCATGTTTTTAATATTCTATTGTGAGCCACCCAGAGTGGCTGGGGAAACCCAGCCAGATGGGTGGGGTACAATTTATTCATTCATTCATTCATTCAGTTTACTCTAGACTGTAGAGCCTAAAACATGACACATGCACCACCTGCCTCATATGAGGATGGCAGGTCCTTTTCTTATGGCTGTGGTGTGGCAAAACTCTCACAAGGGAGTAGAGTTTAGGAGACATCTTCTTTTTTCAAATAGCACAAGATGTCAAAAATGTCTCCTACAGTTTGGTATATTCAAAAACTGAAACTCTGAAGGACGTGCTGAATGGTACTTGCTATGAGCATCACAGAGCTTGTAACAGAATTTCTTTGACATGTTGTGCATAAAATCCAGCTCTGTTTCCCAAGGTTATTGATGGCACAATACGTGTCTTTTTCAGCGGTGGGCAAGGTAGTAACAATATTCTTTTATGTGCCCAGCAGAGAGGTAGTAGAGATCACTATGTTTTGGTGCTGAATCAAACAGTTGAAACACTTGTCACTAATGAGAAGAGAGGCGTTGCAAACCATGAGCATAAGAATGGGCATGGAGGGGATGGGGAATCTGACTCCTCAAAGGAAATCACCGCATAAAATCTGACATGGACGAATATATAATAATAATTTATTATTTATACCCCGCCCATCTGGCTGGGTTTCCCCTGCCACTCTGGGTGGCTTACAGCACATAAAAAATGGTAAAACATTAGACATCCAAAAATTTCCTAATACAGGGTTGCCTTCAGATGTCTTCTAAAAGTCAAATAGTTGTTCCACAGTGCAGGCACCACTACCAAGAAAGCCCTCTGCCTGGTTCCCTGTAACCTCACTTCTCGTAGTGAGGGAACCGCCAGAAGGCCCTCGGCGCTAGATCTCAGTGTCCACGTAGAACGATGGGGGTGGAGACCCTCCTTCAGGTATACTGGACCGAGGCCGTTTAGGGCTTTAAAGGTCAGCACCAACACTTAGAACTGTGCTCAGAAAGGAACCCTTTAACATATACTAACATGGCTGTGCCTTTGCATCCTGAACCACAATAAAGTCCCCATAACTGTAAAGTACTAGGTGCATATATAGGAAATATTTGTTGCAATAAAGGAGATCTAGGAAATTAAAAACGCAGCATTTGCAATTGCTCAGTGCTGAGGCCAAAAACATAGCTAGCATAGCCACTAGACTTGTGGTCCAAAATTTTGGGGGTTCCAAGGTTGTTGTAGGAAAAAAGCTATATCCTTGAGCTTTGGGGTTCCAGGGAGAAAGCGATCAGGAAGTGCTTCGGGAACAAAATGCTAAATGCTATTTTGGAGACCCGCGGGGATCACACCTTCAGTTGTATTAAGAACTTGGACTGAAATGCCTCCAGCAGAAAAGGGAGCCTATTTGTGCTGGCTACTGGCTTAAATTAATGCATATGCCAGAGGTTAGGCTCCCAAGGATATGCTTATATGAGCGATTTCAGTCACACTCTTCCAAACTGATTGCTGGATCCCAGAAATTGGCTTCATTTGAGCCAATTACATGGTTTCTCCAGAAGTTATTTTATTGGTACTAAGCTGACAGCTGCCAAATTGAAATGAAAATTGTCCGTGAGATATAGTTGAAGAGAGGGATTTATCTTTATCGGCAAATACTAAAACAGCAGCCTGGTTCTCAATGATAAAATTTACTCTTAGCTGAAGAATTACTTGGGCTGCAAGACTTTTCTTTGGGACTGTGACTAACAGAAAAAGATGACAACAAATACAGTGTTTCTGTAATTCTCAAATCTGGCCGTTTTTCATATTTGTTACTAGTTATTTTCTTCTTATAGGTGTTGGATTACCATTTTTTGCATTGTTTACCTCTGTATGCTCCTTTGCATTACTTACCTACAATGGATATCAGTGACGTACCTGTACACAGCAAATAAAATATTTTTTTCTAAAAATGTATTGTACTCTTGATCTGCATAACAGAATAATCCCAAACCCCTGAACTCAGATTGAAGAATTAGCCACACAAACATACTATCATAGAATCATAGAATTGTAGAGTTGGAAGGGACCCCAAGAGTTATCTAGTCCAACCCTTGCAATGCAGGAATCTCAGCTAAAGCATCCATGACAGATGGCCGTCCAGCTTCTGCTTAAAAGCCTCCAAGGAAGGAGAGTCCACCACCTTCTGAGGGAATCGGTTCCACAGTGGAACAGTTCTTACATCAGAAAGTTCTTCCTGATGTTTAGTCAGGATCTCCTTTCTTTACAGTGGCACCTCGGCTTACATATGCTTCAGATTACGGTTGCTTCAGGTTACAGATGATTTGTAAGGTTGCAGTTAGGCATTGGTTTTATGAATTGGTTGGTGGAGGGGCATGGATTGGCTGTGCCTGCCCCTCCAATGCTGCTGCTGCAAGGGTATTCCATTAAAGGAATCCAGGGGCTCCCCATGCTTTTGTCCGAACCCCTGTCAAGGGGCTAGGGCCACGCAAGAGCCCCTGGGAGCATTTGGGGAGAGGTGAGGGCATGGTTCCCAGCTCCATCTTTCTCCCCAAAATGTTTTCCCTTTCTGACTTTCGCAGGCGTGTGAATGTCAGGCTGTCCCCCGGGCGGAGACAGATAGTCACAACCAATGCCTAAGCAACTACTCACATTTTTTGTATTTTAATAAAGTTGTGGCCAAAATTATGCCAAAAACCTTAAACAAAAATTCTGTGTGAATTGTGTTTTATTGGGGTGGCTTGGGGACCTCGATGCGCAAATTTGTCTATTGCTGCTTACCTCCATTCTCTGGCATAGCCCCAGGAACCTGAGTCAACTTGATACTATATGATGAAAAAGAAGAAAAACAGCCTAATGTGTATATGTGTCTGAAGTTATCATGATATTCACAGAGCCAGGTTACAGCTATAACCCAAATGACTCACAGAACCTGCAAAGGAAATTACACATTTCCCTAGCGCACAGAAGAATGCCTTGGCTTTTTTATGACTTTCTGTCTCTCTCTCTCTCTCATAAGTCTGAGCTTGATTCCTTTCACATCCTGAACCTCTACGACATCTCTGATTTGGGAACAAGAAAACCTCGGGTGAACCTTTTGCGTTCAAAATACTGCATCATGCCATATTGGCCGATGACCCATGCAACCTGTTCTAAAATCTAAATCCTCTTAATATGAACGTTATCTATCCAAAGAAGATGAAGACATGCAAGACCTGAAGGGGAGAGAGACTGGAAGCTGAGACATATTTTGAACATTTAAATTGGATGGACATCATAACCTGGAATACTGGTTTTGAGGGGTTCAGGCCAATTTCCTGATTGCCAAAGCTCATATTGACCTGGTTTGTAACATTAATTTACAGCTGCGTCATAGGAATCGAGCGTCATTTCCATGAATATGCGACTACAGCAGCAAGAATGTTACCTCCCCAAAAATGGAAAGAGGAAGAAATCCCAGCAAAAGAGGAATGGATACAAAAACTTATGGAATATGCAGAAATGGTGAAACTTACTGGAAAAATGTGAAATCAAGATAAACTTTTTATAAAAGAATGGAAATGGTTTATTGAATATTTACAAGTAAACTGTAAACAGGTCAGAACATTGGCAGGATTATTGTAAGAAGCTGCAGTTTTAAAGTAGATGAATAAATGAGTAAATTAAGTTAATTAGGATATGCAGAAAATATTAAAAATAAATTTAAGGAACCGCAGAAAGAGGAGGAAGGAAGTCGAGTTCTAAAATGTTAAAATGATTGCAAAATTATTGAAATGTATAAAATGGAAAATAATAATAATAGCATCTCATTAGCCAATGTTATGAAATATGATCCACCGAGGCTCTCAAGTTCACATAAGGATAAATGAAATGTGAGGCACTTCAAATACGGGAAAGGGCTATAGGCAGGATGAGTGTAAGGGCCTTCTGAAATTAAAATGCCCATTACTTACCTGGTCTAGGGTACAATTAAAATCTATGCATTAGCCACCTGCCCTGCAGGTGAAACTGGATGGCAACTCCCATTCTACCAGCCATTCTGTGGCTGATGAGAGCTAAGTCCAGCAATATCTCCAGGGCACCTTGCTGGCTATCCCATCCTAAACTGGTTTCAGACTGCAGCCCCAAATTCACTTTCATAACCACACCCGATTTCACTTCTGGACTTGTCTTAGGAATGTGGCCTCAGATCTGTGCCCAAATGGCAACCTATTGTTATCGTTTGCTAGTTGAAAACCAGTCAAGTTTGGCGGCAGAGGAGGCAACTCCTAGGGGCCGAGGTCTCTTTGGACCCCCAATGAAGTATTTGAGGGGGCTGCCCCACCCCACATTTGATGGGCATTGCCATTCAAATGGTGTGTGTGCACCATGTCTTGTGACCTATTATATGGGGTAGGGCTTACCTGGGATCCCCCAATATTTTATTCCAGTTGGCACCCCTGTTTGGCAAGCAGAGGAGCGAGAAAGGTACAAACTCCCAGTTTTTCCTCTATTCACCCCATTGTCTTCCTTTGCCACCCCCAATATCGCCATCTGCCATTGCCTCAAGAGGAGCAAGGGACTACTGCTTTGACCTATATCTCCTTCCTCCCAACCAAGACAGCATCCCCATCCCTCCTGGTCCAAAAGTTGAGCTGTGGAGGCAGGGAATTGAAGCTCACCCATTGGCGATTCCTGTTACTAAAGGAAGAAGCAGGTTTTTGCCCTCGACTGTACCCTACGTGCAACCTTAGCCTTATAAAACGTGGTGGGCGCCAGGCAGCTCCGTGTTGAGTTTGATTTCTTGGTCACGCCAGAGTGTGACGAGACGTTGGCAAAATGGGCCCAGATGAAACAGTCACCAAGATTAACACTAATGGCCATTAGAAGCAACACAAGTGATATCAGAGCTAGTGTCATGTTAGTGTGTTTGAATAGGGACCTATTGCCTTACTTCTGTCATTATCTCTCACTCACTCCCCAGATGAGTCAGAAAGTAGAATTCCTGCAATCCCAGCGAGGTTTACTCAGAAGTTTTACTGCAGGTAAGTGTGCTTAGAAGAGCTAGTTGCGCATTGACAACCACTTTTTGCTTATTTATTCACATTCATGCTAAACCCTAAGTCCCCATTTCAATTTTTAGTTGGCAGTTTAAATGACGCCTGTAGCAGTCATAATTTAACAACCCTGCACTCAATTTTTAATGTCCCAGGAAATGTCAGATATATGGCAGTATCTCACTTGGCATCTATTCTGTACGGCTTCACTGATTTCACATTAAACCCAGGTTTTAGTGGTTGCAGGGAGAATTGTACCTCTTTTGCTTTTACATAGAATCATAGAATTGTGGAGTTGGAAGGGACCCTGAGGATCATGCAGCTGTCCCATACAGGGATCGAACCTGCAACCTTGGCATTATCAGCACCACGCTGTAACCAACCGAGCTACCAGTGACTCTCTGCATTTTGGGAGGAAGACAACCAAGCTGTATGTGACAGACTTGGCTTGCTATGTGCAGCATCTTCAAGCTGCATCGGAAGTTATAATTACAATGTTGAGGGAATGTTCTTTCATTTGTGGTGGACCTGTAAAAGGGTAAAAGAGTATTGGGAAATAATCCATAATGAATTGGAAAAAAAAATGTTTAAAAGCACTTTTCAGGGGGAAAACTCAGACTCCTTTCTGTTGGGGATAATTCAGATGGAAATTCCCAGGTGTCAAAAAAGGTTATTTATGTAAGCCACTACTGCGGCCCATGTTTTGTTAGCCCAAAAATGGAAAATGAGCAAGGTCCCAACTAAAGAAGAATGACAACTTAAACCAGGATTTCTCAAACTCGGCCCTCCAGATGTTTTTAGACTACAATTCCTATCATCCTTGACCAGTGGTCCTGCTAGCTAGGGATCATGGGAGTTGTAGGCCGAAAACATGTAGAGGGCCGAATTTGAGGAAGCCTGACTGAAACTGATGAAATATGCACAACTTGTGGACCTAACATATAGAATAAGAGAACAAGAAGAACATACGTTTAGAGAAGATTGGAAAATGTTTATTGAATATATGGGGGAAATTGCGTATACTTGAAAATGTTGGCAGCATTAAGATAAATTCAACAGTGTAAATAGGTTTTGATGGATGTAATAATGGAATACTGAATGGTTTAGTTTTTGTAAAATACGCGGGGATTTATGATATGCAAAATAAACCACGGGAAGAGAAGAAAGGAAGTCCTTGATATTTCAAGAATGTTTAAATGAGTATTCAAAATTGTAAAACAGAAACAATTTCATAGAAGACAGAATTTCAAAAGCTGCCACTTCTCTTGGTTGCACAACAATCATGGGATGTTAATCCGGTGTAGGGCTGGAGAAGACCTTTAAAAGCCATCTCTTGAGGGCCCTTTTATAGAGACAATCTGGAATTTGAAGCTTCTCCGTTCGGCAGGATGATGAACGAGCCTTTCCTGGCCCTTCTTGCCACCAAGCAATTTAAGGTGCAAGAACTGGCAACCACAATAGAATCCACTCGTTTAAAAGGTAATAAGAACAGGAAAGAATTCATAGAAAGTCTAGCAGGTCAGATACCCTTTTCCCGGGAAGTTCAACCCACTTAACCCTGCATAGTATAAACCTGCATGAAATCCAAAGCTGCCGGCAAAATGAGTGATGTTTACAATCTACCAGGCTCATGCTGCCGTCAATTCCTCCAGTGCTGAAATGAACCTATTTCCTGGGCGAACTATGAAGGATGCTTACTAATGCCAGCAATGTCCCAGCAGTGCTTAGAACCAGAACAAGAAAGATGAGCAGATAAGTAGAACATTAGCAGTGATCCGAAAGCTGCCGGTTGTAATAAACCTTGGGCCATGATGGGTTACCTCTGCCCTTTGGCACACAGGCATAATCTCTGGCTGATCTTTATGGAACGGGATCAGATGGGCCAGAGGTCTTATAGACCACGAAAACCTCGCTGAGCAGCAATGAGATCCTCATTTAGTCCATCCAAGCTAAAACCAACTGAGGTCAGGAGGAACATGGTAAACATTCACCTGTGACAAAATGCATGTGGACACAGAGGGTTACTTTTTTGGCCAGGTTATGGCATCCTGTTTCTACTCCTCACTGGTTTCCCAGCGCCACTGCCTCCTGGCTCCCAGTGGTCAGTCGGCATTCTGTGCTTACACAGGGACTGTTACCTGGTGACTGACTTTGCTATGGTTTATACGCCTGGTTTAGGAAACGTGTGTAACCGTCTCCATGTCTCAGACTACAACTCCCATAAACCCTAACCCATGTTCCTGTAGTAATCTAACACAGAGGTTACCAGAGCATAGACAACTGAAGTTAGGCTATCCCTTTCCAGATAGGAGTTCAGCTGGGCCTTGTCATAGTGGATGGAAGGCAATCTGCACCACTGAGGCCACCTGAACCTTCAAGAGACAGCAATTGATCGAGAAGGAACCTCAAGCTAAGTACCCACTCTTTAGATGAAGCATAACCCCATCAAGAGCAGGCAACCTCCCATCCACCTGATCTAGGGAACCACTAACTAACTGTGCGTCCTGGATGTCTCAAGGACTACCTGATCCCTTATATCTCAGACAATCGCTGAGATTTTTGAGGCAATCTCTGTTGCTCAGATGCACAGCTTTCAGAAGCCACACATTCATGGTAGTGGACCAAAAGCCTGTTGAACTGTCTCCCAATGGAGATTAGACAAGCACTCTCCTTGTCCTGAACTTCAAGGGCTATGACTTTCTTCTTCCGGTAGGCATGTTAAGGTGGTGTTTGGTTTTTTGATGAATTTGTACGGTTTCATTGTTCGGTTTTCTGTAAATTGCTTTTGCGTGCACCGCTTAGAAATGTGAACTATTAAGTAGCATATAAAGGTCTTAAATGAATACTGTACATGGTTATAATTATTATAACACAAGGAGTGTACACGTTACAGGAACGTCACACTTTACGGGGGTTTTTAAAATTATAATACTGCCACGCATTACAAGAGATCACAGGGCATTCGTTTTTCTGTCCATTTCCGCGTTTCACCGTCATCACAAACTCGTGGGAGATGGTGCATGGGGCTACATCAGCACCATAGATTTCAAGAACTCTTAAACCACTTTTAAATAACATGGCTTCCTCCTCCCCTGAGAATCCTGGGAAGTGTAGTTTGTTAAAGGTGCTGAGGGCTGTTAGGAGACCCCTATCCCCCCCCCGCAGAGCTACAATTCTCAGAATAGTTTCACAATCAATCCCTCTTTGAATGGAATTAAACTACACTTCCCATGATTCTTTTGGAGGATGCCATGACTTGTTAGAGTGGTATAATAGAGGTTTAAAGGTATGGTATAGATGTGGCCTGGAGGGGACGTGGGTGGCGCTACCACAGAGCCTAGGGCTTGCCGATCAGAAGGTCAGCGGTTCGAATCCCCGTGACGGGGTGAGCTCCCGTTGTTCGGTCCCAGCTCCTGCCCACCTAGCAGTTCAAAAGCACACCAGTGCAAGTAGATAAATAGATACCACTCTGGTGGGAAGGTAAGAAGCGGCTTAGTCATGCTGGCCACATGACCCGGAAGCTGTACACCGGCTCCCTCGGCCAGTAAAACGAGATGAGCGCCACAACCCCAGAGTCGTCTGCAACTGGAGCTAACGGTCAGGGGTACCTTTACCTTTACCTATGGACGTGATCTGGGTCACAGGTCGCAGATAGCAAGCTTCACGGGGAATGCCTCTCTGGTCTAGTTCTCATAGCACCATAGAATTGCAGAGTTGGAAGGGTCCAAGAGCGTCATCTAGTCCAATCCCCTGCAATGCAGGAATCTTTGGATTTGAACCCCCAGTCCTGGAATTAAGAGTCTCATGTCCTACTGACCAGGCTACCCTAGCTGTGTATTCAAGCTGTGTCATTTCAGATTGCAGGTGGGTGCTTAAATGACTACATACCCGCCCACCCACATCCTTCTTTTAACCCAGCAATGCCTGAGTTACACTTTCACTGACAGCTATTTTTTTAAAAAAATATGGCTACCGAACCCCTCCCCGCACCAGTATACCACTGGTACAGCCCAGACTACATCAGCACGAACCAGGTCTGCCTTTCCACCACAGCTCCATCTGGAGAATGGGGATGATTCTATTAGCCTGCTTTACAGGGTCATAGTAAGGATTAACTGAGACATGACACAGTTTGAGCACTTGAAAGGAAGCTTAACTGCTATTACTAATGACTGCAACTCATACGCCAAAAAAATAAAGCATGGCTGACAGGTGCGAACAGGCTTGGATTTGTTCCGATTTAAAGTGTTCTCCTTGCCCGGAATCCTTGTTCTTAAATCATCGTTTGGACGCAGCAGATGTTCTCTCGGAAGTCCCACGGAAGCCCATCCGACTCACTTCCTAATAAGTGTTATTTAGGGCTACAGATCGAAAGCTGATTGTCACCTACTTAACCAGCCACCACGCTTGGAGCCGCCGCAGAGCAGCGCCCCCTTAGAGGTGCAGTTGCGCAGCAGCTGAACTTTGGGAAACGGGAAAACCAAGCTGCGGAGCAAGCGCAGGGAATACTGCTACTCAGAAGTAAGCCTGCCTCCAGGCGCTTGATTGTTTGATTCGGGTTTTTTTTTTATGGGTGTGTGTGTCAGCGCACCACGTTGGTTCAGGTGATCAGTTTCCTGGAGAAGTCTCTCCCGTTGCCAAAAAGGATTTCCTCTCCTGGTGCCTAACCCATCAAATCTTGCCAGATCTCAGGCAGCGAAGCTCTCTGCTGCTGCGCGATCGGCTTGACGGCAGAAGTAGTAACCCTTAACGCACGCCCTTTTCTCCCCAGGGTGACGACTTGTCTCGAGACACTGATTTCCAGCACACGCCTCCTTTTCCCAATGTGATCATCTTCCTCTCTCGCATTCACACACACAGACACAAACACACGCACAACCTGTCCTAAAGCGATTGCCATCCACTGCGGGTCTTACGCACCCAACCCCCACCAAGTAAAAAAAAGGCGCACGGGAGGGCAACCTTTGAATCATGGCTTTTCAGGTGTGCCCCCCCCCGTGTTACCATAGAATCATAGACTCTTAGAGTTAGAAGGGACCCAGGGGTCATCTAGTCTAACCCCATGCAATGCAGGAATCTTTCCAAACATAGGCTGCATACACGCCCCCCAAACACATTCGAAGCGCTCCCCCCCAAAAAAAAATTAAAATTAAAAATAAATTATGGGCACTGTCATTTGGTGAAGGGAATTGGCACTCTGAGGCTGTCAAACTACAGTTCCCAGAACTCCTATGAAGAGGAAAAGATGCTTTAAAGTGTACAGGATCAGGCCCAAGGGCGTTACAGCTGGGACTCTAAAAGCCATCCTCTCCTCGGCTCTTGGGGTGGCTGATGAATGTGGGAAAAGCACTCCTGATATGCTCAGAGGCTGTTCTTTCAGTAACAGGTTCGGGAGCAGAGCTTCATAACTTCGGTGTTTTGTGCGTGCGTGTTTTTACTTCATACCGCCCCGCGTATCCTCACAAACACTCAAGGCGAACCTCTTTCCCCTTCCCAAACTCATACAGCTGCTCCCAATGCAGAAAATGGTGTTTGCGCGCATTATCCACTCCGGCAGGCTTTTATCTAAAATGCTGCGCTCACCGATCAGAAGTGCAGGGAGCAAACAAGCCCAAAGCCACGTCGCCCCCGCACCATTTTTAAAGTAGTGCCATCCCTTGTAGAACCCGCATAGGTATGTGCGACAGCTATTTAGTGGCAAAGGCATAGGAAGGAAGACCTGTGCCTGGTCTGCCTCCCCAAAAAGCTGGGGTGGGGGCGGGGTAGAGCTATTCCACATAATTTCATAGCTTTCCATATAAAATCCTCCACACTAAAAAAAAAACTAGCAAGCCAGGAAAAAGGACTCCAGCCGTTTCCCTGACATACTAGCTTTCTGCGTGCAGGGACTCTTGCTTTAGTTCGTTGCTCAATCAGGCGAGTCCTCACCTGGACCGCCCAGAGGCAGGCAGGTTGATTGAGAAATATGGAGTTAAGTAGCTCCACAGACCACCTTGAGACTTAACAGTGCGAGTCTGCACGTTTGCTCTGAAGTCAAAGAGTCTCCCGTCGAATTCCCCAGCCTGAGCACAGCACCGAGGCATTCAGGCTGCGTTTGCCCCTGTGGTTTGGGAGGGAAGCTCCCGAGACGGCTCGATCATGCGACGTTCACGCGTCGTCCAGGTTTTCTCGATACTAAAAGCTGCTGAACTTTGCAATCCTGCGCTAAAGAGCTGTTCCTCCTTGCGAGCGCGTAGTTAAGTTTCTCTTTGCAGCTCTCCCACGTGTGATAGGGGAGCGTGGGACATTTCTGAAGGCTCCCCCCCCCAAAGTAATCCATTTTCCCTTCCCATGCCTTGAGAAAGGGGCTCAGTTTGTGTGGCCCCCCGAGGGGGAGGGAGAGAATGAGAAGAGAACGCGCCCGCTTCCTTACGAAGGAAGAACAACAAAGCGCCTTAAAGACTAGCAGATTTTATTGCAACACGAGCGATCGTGCACTAGATCCCACGTTTGGCACAGGCATATGGAATGCTATCCGGGGCTGGCGGATCACCCAGGCACACGATTCCAGCGGCGGGTGGGCCCGGACGGGGGAGGGAGGAGAAGGAACGGACGGGCAACTGAGACCCTCCAAAGCCTTGAAACGCTAATAGGTCCGGGGCGTTTCTGCGCAAAGCCAACTCCCCACTCCTGAAGCCTCCGTGCGCGCGCGTTTGGGTGGCAGCCAGCTTCTTCCGCAAAGGCTTTCCAAAACACGCCCATCTTAGGAGGGCTGCACACCTGACGGGCACCTCCGCCCTCCCCTCCCGCTTTAAATTTTTTTTTAAAAAACCCAATTCTTGTCTTCAGCTCAGCAGACACGATCAGCGAAACCAAACGCGCTCTCCCATATTTGCAACAGCAATGCTCGAAGGCTTGCTATTAGCCGTCATGGAACCAGAGCGCAAAGGGATCCGCGAGGGTCATCTAGCGCAACCCCCTGCCACGCAAGCCCTCCTATTGGCATCACCATCGCGGAACCTAGAGAGGGGGCAAGGGACACCTCCCTCCAAGGCCATGCAGTCCAACCTCCTCCACCCGAGCGGTTCCCCCATCCCGTCTGAAACCACCCCGAACCCTGCTTAGCTTTGCAAACAGACGCGCGGTTTTCTTGCCGCGCGTCAAGCATTATTAATTCTCCCGCCTCTCTCAAGGCTCCTTGCCCACCTGCTGCGCTTTGCTCCTCACCTCCTGCAACTCTCGCCGCCCCCGTCCCCCCCCGCCCCGCCCTGCCTTCCCAGGGTTGCTCCACCTCTTGTCACCCTTCCAAGGAAAAAAGGCAAGCCTCTCCAGGGACCCGAGGCGGGGCTGCGGCTTGCCCTTCCACCCTCCCCCTTAATGCATATTAATAGCAACGCATGCGCTGCCTGACGTTTGCGCCCCCCCCCTCCTCCTCCTGCTGTAGCCATGGGCTAGCAAGCAGCCGCAGCAAGCAGTCAGTTCAGTGGGGCTTGCAGCTCGGGCGATCGGATCCCTCCTCCTCTGGCTTCCTTTTTTTTTCCTTTTGGAGGGGGCTGGTTGCGCGCGTGCAAATAGCCGTGGGCCCCCTCCTTTCTCTCCGGAGGGGTGTCGTCTATGTGCGTGTGGCGGGGGGTGGGGAGGGGGGCTCAGGCCGGGTTATTGTGCTGGCCGGGCTGGAGAGAGAGAGAGAGGGGTTGGCCGGTGAGCTCTGCAAAAGAGAGAAAAGCGAGCGGGCGAGGGGGGTGGGTGGGGGCGCGCGGAATAACCATCGCTAATAAGAAAGGAAGAAAGGAAGGGTGGGGGTTTTTAAGAGACAGAGGCCAAGGAGAATAAAAGGAGGCTGGGCTGCTTTGCATTGAAGATCGGGGCGCTATTGAAAACCTTTTGAGAAGTGGCGTCTTCCACCCGCGCGCGCTTCCACCGGGAGAGCATATATATATATCTGGGAGCCGGGCAGCGGCTGCAAAGAGCGGCAGCGAGCCGGGGAGCGTCTCTGCGCGAAGGGCACTCTGCAAGCAAGAGGCATGCTTGGCTCAAAGGGACCGCAGCTCACGGACTTCTCCTTACGGCTTCTCCTTGCCCTGTTATGCTTGCGAGTCAAGGTACGTTTTTGGGGCAAGGCTCGGGCGTTGCTTCCCGCAGCGCAGCTCCGCGCAGAAACTCGCTTTTCGCAGGTTTCGGTTTTTTTGGGTTTTTGTCTCCCAAGGAAAGCTTTCGATTGCAGAGCTCCTGCCCGCCTACCCAACCCCCCGCCCCAAGACATTCGCTTTGACCGATTTCCCCACCGCCCCCCGTCAGCTGCATTTTTAAAAAAATGCTTCTGCTATGCGTTTTTGAATTCGGGGTGATGATTTCTAGGGGGAAGCCAGGTTTCCCCGAGGACTTTCCCTTTCTTCTCCCCCCTATACCGTCAGCGTTCCATTTCTTTTTTCCAGAGGGTTTTGCTTTCTGAAAGCCTCGTAGCAAGCGGACTTTTCCATGATTGTTTTCAGGAGTGCGTCTGACTTGATTAGAGTTATTCGCTTGAGCTGTGCAATGCTTTTTCTGCGCGGTGTTCCCTTGCTTGAAGCTAACGACCCTTTAACTCTTTTTGAGCGCTGAGAGGGAAATAGCGACACGATTTCCCTCTGGGAATTGCCCCTAACATCAGAATTTGGGGGTGGGGGTGGGTAACAGATGAGGGTTCCTGTTCGCTTTTTAACCTGTTGAATCAAGGAGCAATAGAAGCCTCCCCTTTCATTTTTGCTAAACTTGTTAGTGGTTATTTTTTTTTTAAAAAAATATATATTTATTTACAAGCAACGTGCTAACGCTTCCTTCTCCTCTCTGCTTTCTTTGGGGGAACTTTTTTTTTTTTAAATGACAAAAAAAAACAGGTGACCCTAACATCAGGCCAGTTCGAGTTTGAGATCATATCCATGCAAAATGTCAATGGCGAATTGCAGAATGGGAATTGCTGTGACGGGACCCGAAACCCAGCCGATAAGAAATGCACCAGAGATGAATGCGATACTTATTTCAAAGTTTGCCTGAAGGAGTATCAGTCGAGGGTTTCCGCTGGGGGCCCTTGCAGCTTTGGGTCCGGATCTACCCCGGTCGTCGGTGGGAATACCTTCAGTTTGAAATACAATCGGAATAACGAAAGGAACCGGATTGTCCTCCCTTTCAGCTTTGCCTGGCCGGTGAGTGACTTGACTTTGCTGAGAGCATCTTCCTTCTTCCTCGCCTTACTGTGCATGGGGGCTGGCTGCCTTGCGGTCGCAGGCTTAGAGCCGCATACGTCTCCGTCTGGCTAAGCTGCAACGGAGCTAGATGGAAAAACCTAAGTGAATTGGTGGGTGGGGGGAAAACCTGTGTGTTACATGTATATGCAAGTCATCCCCTGTCCCCAGTGTCCCGTCCCCCCGGAGAATTTAAAAGGTCAGAAGTTCATGCAATTTATTTATTTTATTGCTCCCCCCTCCCAATTAGTTCTCATGCCTAGGTGGAGGCAGCAGGGTCGGGTGGGGGGCGGCAGGCCGTGCGTTGGAGACCCCCTTGGTGGAATGCTATGGGGACCCCTCTCGCCCTACCCAGTGGCATCTCTGGTGGTGCCCGTGGGAGCTGCTAGCTCTTCCCGGTTGCCAGCTTCCCCAGGAATCCTGTTAGCGTGCTTCCTTCCCCAGCCCAGACCCTGGAGAATCTCTGGGAGCTCAATCAAGAGGAGAGACATAACTCCCTCTGCCTTATGCCCACCACCATCCTTTGCTTGTTTCCCCTTCTCCTATGAGAGCTTTACTGTTTTGCCTGGCGAGGCAAGAGAGCTGGAACCATCTTCCCTTGGCTTGGGTAGCAGTTCCGGACCCTCCACCTGGAAAGAAGGGCGTGCACTTGGGAAAGGCGTTGGTCCTTAATTGGCTGTGAATGACCCAGTCTTCAAATGGGCCGCACTTTCACCAAATGCATGTTTGCTTAAGTCACTATTGGGCTCTTGATAATGCAGAAGGGGCCATGCTGTTCGTCTGTGTCTGCCTGCCTGCCTGCCTGCCAGCACTGTAAAGCAGGAATCTGCCGTCTCCCTTCAGGGGCGTAGCTGGACAGCATCCTTTTAAACTCTGGGCCAGACATGTGGAATCCATCTAAGATCCCTCTTTATGGGTGCTGAGCAGGTCCTGGTTGTGTGAATGGGCAGGGAGAGCTTTTGAAAGAACAGCTTTGGGAGCCCTGCCTCCCTCCCTCCCTCTTCTTGAAATGGAGGTCTCCTTCTTTATTGGTCTTCTGGAAGAGGTGCAACTGTTGTCTCCCAAATGAATATTCATGCACTAGATTGCATTTTTCTGATTGGCTCGCAAAGGGAGATCTCGGGAGGATTCAGTGGGAGGGACAGCCAAGTCCCTCCTCCCGTTTCTCTCTTGTGATCCCAGCAACTCGGAGCACAACACAAAATGCTAACCATGTGCTCTTGTGCTGCCTCCTATCTGTCTCTGCTGCAATTATCAGCGCACACACACATCCTTCTGAGTCTTTCTTTCTCTTTCTTTTTTTTTTTAAAAAAAGATCATTATGATTTAGGGTGAAACTAAGTGCACATATTTAAGAAGATTGCATTACAAAGTACAATAGCGGAGCTCACAAAAGTATTCCCTGTTCGATACTCTGAGCCTTGCTAGTTTGGTTTTGCTTGCAGGGAGATAAAACTGTTATCAAATCTGCCATCAAAGGGATAAAAAAAGCTTAGTGGAAATGTGTGGTATCTGAAGTGCTGCCAATGGCTGTCAACCTTCTCTTAAGAATTCGGCCTCCTTTCTATTCTCTTTTCTCTCTGTGTCTTTGTTGAGGAGCGGGTTCATCCAGGACCCTTTTGGATAGACAAATCTTTTCTTGTGTGTGTGTCATGAAACTGATCTCTTCCCCCTCCACCACCAGCCCATAATCCTAAAAGTGACCGGTGCTTCTGTGAAAGCAAGCAGCAGATCTGATCCGCAAACACTGAGGTTGGCTTGAGTAAAGATGCAGTCCCTGTGCACAGAGCCATCCTAGGCGTGTTTACTTGGGAGTAAGCCACACTGAGCAATGGCACTCATGTCCCAGTTTAAGTTGCAGCCCTACACCTGGAAGAAACCTCCATAGAGCCCTGTAGGGTTTGCTTCATAAACCATGCATGCGATTAGGCAGCCGACGCCTCCTCCCTCTACAGCATCCCATCTCTCTCCTTCCCAAAACATTCCACCACCACCCCTCAACACCCGTCTGCTTTTTTTTATGGCATGTCTGCATATCCGGTGAGTCAGGCATGAGTAAATCCTATGGTGATCTTGTCCTGCCAGGTAATTCCACCAGGTGTTCTTCTCTGGCTGCTACCTATTGATTCACACATAATCTCCTGCCATCTACAGCACTGGGATCCTAACTCATGTGTGTGTGTGTGTGTGTGTGTGTGAATGGAATAATACTATAAGCAGCTGTAGGTTAGCAGAAGACTCCTTCAAGGAATCCGATTCCAATAAAAAGCTGCGTTTTGAGTGTGGATTTCTTTCTCACCTTTGTGCACAAAAAAATCTACCTGGCTGGACCCAAGGTGCTTTTATGATGAAATTCCTAGTTTCCATTAGCTCAGTTGGTTTGGAGTGATCTGCCTTCTTCCTCAAGGTTCTCATGGCATCTTTTGTTTGTTGTTTTGTGATAGGAATTACACATCCCAGATCCGATGCAAGCATATGTTCCAGGCTGTGTTATCTCCAAAGGCAACCCTGAGCTCCCTAGCTAAGCAGTCACTGCTGAGACTTGGGTTAATTCCCTATTCTGGTCTCCATTCAACTGAAGATGAGCCAGTTGGTCCTCAGCTTTTTCTTGTTTGGTGCAAACTGAGCAGTCCTGTTGGAAGCTGTTAGGAGCTGGTGTTAATTTCAGATTTGCCTCCTAACTTACAGTTGGCAATTGGCAAAAAAAAAAAAAAAAAATCTGGCTAGCTGTTAACTTTTCAATCCTTTGTGATTTTGGAGAAGGCTCTCCTTTTAAAATATAATAAAATACAGGCCCACATTTAAAAAGGGCCCCACATCTTCTCTTTGCCAGGACATGTTATCCACATGCTTTCTGTCAAGAAATAGTTCTAAAACATTGCTTTGTGAGTGAAAAGCCCTTTGGGTCTCTTCCTTCTACATACCCTGTAATCCATGCTGGATAGAATCTATACTTCCTCAAGTAAATCAAAATGTGTGTGGGTGTGTATGTATGTGTGTGTATATATATATATATATATATATATATATGTGTGTGTGCGTGTGTGTGTATATATATATATATATATATATATATATATATATATATATAGTGTAGGTTCTAACCTGCATGGTTTCTGCTCCATTTAACATACACACAGTTAACTACGTACATGTGTAATTAAATGAAGTAGAGACTAGGATTTAGAGTTTTGTTATTAAAACTTTCCCCCTGCCCAGCCTAGGTTTTTATGTAACCCTTGTGAGTAATGGCTGTGGCGATGGAGGGCTGTAAATTTCCTTTTTTTTTTTTTTTTTAAGAGGTTGGAGGTTTGAATAGGTTGCTAGGAAACGGGGCAGCGAAACAGCATGAAGGAAAGAAAGGAGCCATCATCCCCAAGGCTGCACCTGCACCAACTGCTAAAATGATACAGAAAAATGCGATCGCATATTTTTGAAAGAAGCGTGACCTGCACTTTAGCCAATGGATATTTGCGGAGTAAGCCTTTGTGTGTGTGTTTCCCATAAGGAGGCCTGCTGCACACACCTCAGGAAACCCCTTGTTTTATTGCTGGTTCAAGCATTGGCATGCCTTTGTTTAAAGCCCTCTCCCACACAATGCCAATGGCTTAATCTATGATCTGTTTTGATACCCTGAAATGCTTTCCAGTGCGTGACTTTCTTTGTTTCACTTAAGTCAGCCTCCATTATTCATTAAATAGGACGGTGAGAATTTCGTGTTTTCTCTCTTCGTAAGACATTCCCCCCCCCCCCCCCGTGTTCAGGCAAGCCGGGAACATTGTATAGGTCAGAGCTGGCATTTTTTCCAATGCATATTCAAAATTCGACAGCCCCCCCTCCAAAACCCCCCACGTTTACATGGTGACCTTGCAGTTTGCAAATATAAAGCACTTTATTTGTTTATTTATGAGTCATGTTTATTGGCTGCCTACTGAGGTGCTAAAATATCTTAAGTGCTTTGTTGCAAATGGTTGTTGTTGTTGTTGTTTTAATACAAGTTTTGAATCTCCTGGTTGTGTGCTTTACACCCCTGGGTTGGAAAAATGCTAGCAGCAGCAGCAGCAGCAGCAGCAGCAGCAGCCAGCTCTTCAACTAAACCATACTCCCGTTCCAAAGATGTTTTCTGGCTAGCTCCTAAGGCTGACTTTTGTTCTAGGATCTGCTCTTGAGGAAAAGCAAAAAAAAATGTTGCTGAGTTATGCCAGGCTTTTCTTTGTAGACAGCCCTTCCCCAAAGGCCTTTTGTCTGGATCTATCAAAGGGTCTCTGACCCGAGGAGGCGAAAAACTGCTATCAGATTATCGTTGAGCCTGTGAGAGGACTTCAACTTTCCGAAAGTGAAATCTGTGACAACAAAGAATTAGAGGAAACTTGCATTTGGTAGGACTGAGTGCATCATGGGAACAGAACATGAAATGTGTGCTATTTTTAATGAGAGAGAGAGGGACTACAGTGGAGCAGATAATTGTTTGCATTAAGTGTTTGAAAAGTAACCAATTCTCCCAGCCTTGGGTTGCAGCCCATTGGGTGAGGCTGGTATTCTGAAGTTGAGTGCATATACTTCAAGTGATCAGACTGCGACAATATTTTTACATCCATTGCCATGAGCTTGCATTGGAATATATGAGTCTTGTAAGTTGACTCCTTTCTCAGATCCTTCCGCAGCAAAAGCAGAGGGTCGAATTGTGCCAATCCTAAACGTGCTTATAGGGAGCAAAGTTCCACTTTGTTCAGTAGGGCTTGCTCCCTTGCAAGTGTGCGTTTAGGATTGCGGCCTAAGTATACCTACATCTGCATAGGATCCGCCTCTTAGCTTGGGAGCAGCTTCCAAGTAACTTTCTTGAATTGCTGTGTTTTATTCTTAGAGAAACTGCTGTGATTCTGTTAACTTTAAAAGAGTCAATTCCAGGGGATGTTTCTGTTTGATCAGGCAGAAGTCCCATAAATCTTCTCGTTCCTGATTGCTCCAGTGGTGACTCACCGTCTTAGTAAAATAAAGCCATGCATTTTTAGACTTGCTGCTTTGTTCCATGACCAGGATAACACACGCCATGCCAGAGGTTTTTATTTCCCCAAAGAAGGTGCTTATCTGCGTTCTTGAATGGATCGAGGAGCTGGGACATGTATTTGGGGATAGATCTAGGCCTAGCTGCAGTTCAGGAATCTTAATAGTGTGCCCCAGAAGGGCACAGCGTTCCCTGAAATGGTTAAAGGGGCTCAAGTGATTTGGGACATTGTCCCTTCCTACTCAGCTCTTCTCCAGGTAAATGAGTCTGGAGAAGGAAAAAAAAAAAAGTCTTGTTCAGGCTTGCTGGGTGCAAATCTGACTCTCTGCTTGACTGACTGCTAGGTATTCTGTCTATTAACCTTGTCACCTTGTTGTAACTGGTGCGTTTAATTATCAAAAGCGATGCTTTAAACAGGTAGAGAGGCTAAATGCTGAGAATAGCGGGTAATCTCCTTGCTGCTGAGGGGTTTAAACTGCCCACTGACATCCTGGCCTGCTTGCAGCGTTTTCTCTGGGCGGTGAGGGGGATGGGAGCGAAGCTTCTGGAGGAAAAGGCCGTCTGGCAATGGGATAAGGGGAGATGGTATTTCAGGGGGTTTTTTTAACAGTGGTCGGCTATTGAGCCCCTTTGCAGCTGGGGGCTTCTTTGCAAGAACTGATTAAAAACGAGGCGCCCCTATTCCTTCTTAAAATTAAAGCATTTCCCCCAGAAAAAAAAGACCCCACCCTCTTCCTTTTTGTTCGAAACATACCAGTTTGGTCATTGGAGTAATTGTAGTCCGACCACCCAGACGGAGGCAGTGGTGGCTAATATTAACCAATGACAATAATGTGGCCATCCTGACAGCAGGCAGGATTACAGAGCATAATGGGGCCTGTCCAAAAATAATGCTGGGACAAGGCAAGCAACAGGAAGCAGCAGTAGACTCGGCGTAGCTTGGCTCCCGGACAAACCATGGACTTGCTTTGCACAATGGCTGCTTCAGCACATCAGGCGTTTGCAGGATAGTCATTATTCCAGAAGGCTTGCCAGGACACTCATCGGCTCGGTTTATGAGAGGCAGCGAGCATGCGCACTCAGAAATAATACTTAGAAAAAGTGGTATCCTCTTTCTCCGGTTTCAGTGAGTGCTTGGTCCTAAGGGCAAGGGGTTGGGGAAGGGGAAGGGAAAAGGGAAAAGGGAAAGGCACACTTAAGTTGCCCTCTTCCTTGGACGACATGAAGCACCATAAGGATCCATTCTTTAAATACAGTGGTACCTTGGTTCTCAAACTTAATCCGTTCCGGAAGTCCGTTCCAAAACCAAGGTGCGCTTTCCGATAGAAAGTAATGCAAAACAGATTAATCCATTCCAGACTTTTAAAAACAACCCGTAAAACAGCAATTTAACATGAATTTTACTATCTAACAAGACCGTTGATCCATAAAATGAAAGCAATAATCAATGTAAAAAGGTAAAGGGACCCCTGACCATTAGGTCCAGTCGCAGACGAATCTGGGGTTGCGGCGCTCATCTCGCTTTATTGGCCGAGGGAGCCGGTGTACAGCTTCTGGGTCATGTGGCCAGCATGATTAAGCCGCTCTGGCGAACCAGAGCAGCGCACGGAAACACCGTTTACCTTCCTGCTGGAGTGGTACCTATTTATCTACTTGCACTTTGATGTGCTTTCGAACTGCTAGGTTGGCAGGAGCAGGGACCAAGCAACAAGAGCTCACCCTGTCGCGGGGATTCAAACCACCAACCTTTGATCAGCAAGTCCTAGGCTCTGTGGTTTAACCCACAGCGCCACCCACGTCCCTAATAATCAATGTACTGCACTATAAAATGAATAAGATAGTATTGTAGATGATAAAAATTAATTTTTTTTCTTACCTGCATTGATGATAGTCATTGTTTGGATGGGGGGCTTTTATCCATTTCCGCAGTCACACAATCAATCAATTAGTAGCTGAACTGGGTTCCACAGTCACAAAAACAAATGAACAAAAAAAAGCCTCAGAAACAAAAACCATAAAATAAACAGCAAAAACAAAAGCACCAAACTTAATCCCTTCCGGAAGTCCATTTGGCTTCCGAAATGCTCGAAAACCAAGGCACAGCTTCTGATTGGTGCAGGCGCCCCGGAAACAATAGCCAACAGCCGCATCAGATGTTTGGCTTCCGAGAATCGTTCAAAAACCGGAACACTTCCGGGTTTTCAGCGTTTGAGAACCAAGGTACTACTGTATTGCTTTCCCCCCTCCAAAGGCCTTTGTAGGTCTTGCCTGTGTTCCTTCCTTATCCCCAGTTGCTGCCTTGGCGGTGCAATTCCTCAAGCTCTGTGTACTTGCCCCTCTTGGTGGGTGTCATGTGATCTGGGAACGAACATGCATGGCAGGGGGTTGGGCTCGATGACCTTCGGGGCCCCTTCCAACTCGGCAGTTCTGCAATGCCATGGGGCAAAGTGTTCAGCAGTTTGTGTGCTTTCCCTCCTTGTTCTCCAGGCCCGAGGGACCTGGAGGATTGCCATCCGCACTGTGTTTTAACCAAATGTCTTCACCTTGGCACTATGTGAAGCTGAGCGAGAACTGGTCTGAACACAGGCTGCTCTGGGTTGAGGGCAATGGGTTGAGAATCTGAAGCTGCCCTGCAGCCAGATTTCCTTTGGGATCTTCTGATCCTTGTAGGTGCTGAAACAGGGGGTTGTGGGTGCAGGAAAGAAAGCCTTCAGAGCTTCTTTTCCCTCTGTCTTTTCCAGGTTATTATGTTCAAGTAGTCCTCCACGTGGGGCAGTAGCGCAACAGGTTTCAACTCACTGGCTCGCTTTTCTGTCCCCGAACGAGGAAACGAATACTCTTGTGATTTGGCACACGGCCCTAACTATAGGCATGAAGCAGAAGGATTGGCTAGGACCGCAGTTAACCCTTTCGGCTTGTCCTTTGCTGGAGATGCGTTCAAGGTCAAAAGAGGCGCTCTGCTCTGTATTGTCCTTGTCAGGGAATGGGCTTCTGCACATGACTCTCCTACTTCCTTCCACCCTGTGAGAACAGGTGTGCAAGATGCACTCGAACAAAAACCTTGTAACAGTAGTCAACCTATGGGTAGCTTGTTTCCACCCAAGGAGTTTGGGCACATCCATTTTTGGCCCTTTAAGATTACATCTGGGCTTTGGGTCTCCCTCAATGTTCTCTCTCAGAATAGAGGTCCAAACTGGATATCAGTAGCATGGTTTCTAACCGCATAGGGTTGGTTTGTTTTTTTTAAAATTAAATATGGGGCACAGCGCCCCCACCACCCCATTTTAATTGGGGCTACACTGAATCAGGAGGTCTTCAGCCCTGATCCCAACATACACACACAGAGAGCACTTCTATGAAGCTTGGGATGGGGTTGAAGTTCTCATTGGCCCAATGGGAGACTTTTTCCTTAGGGGTCGGAAATCTGTGCCCCTCCCTCACTCTGTCCAGGTTGTTGGGCTCCATTTTCCATCAGTACAAGCCAGCATGGCCAGGGGTCTGTTGTGATGGGAGTTCTTGTACTCCAGCAATGCCCAGAAGATTCCCCATCCGTGATCTCAGCCTTATAGGGGAGGATCATCGAGGTTGTGGCTGGGGAAGGAAGTGGTGTGGCCCCGCGGAAATGCCCCCTCCCCACAAATGCCTGGTATGTAATTAAAAAAAGAGAAATGGACGTGGTTAGCAGCCGAGCTGTTAAAGTGATACCTGGCTTGGTCCAGAGGTGGGACCAGGAGGAGAAGAAGTGGTCATCATGCCTGACCTTGCTCCTTCTCCCAAGGTTGGGGGAGAGGGGGCCTGGTGCACAGAAGCGGACATGTGTTTGCATATAACACACTTGTGCTCTAAAACAACAACAACAAAGCCCTCCTGCACTCTTTTTTTGGTCAAGAAGCCCAATTTAAAGAGTGCAAAATGTTGTCTCCACTGGAAAGCGGTTTTGGGGAGTGCGCTCCGGATTACGGATTGCTTTAGCTGGTTATTCAGGGTCCCATCTGCACAATACCTTCAAAATATGACCGCGCCATAAATGGTCAAGACTTGCCCCAAAGCATCCTGCGAACTGTTGCTTCCTAAGGGGGCTGAGGTCTGTCAGGAGACCCCTATTCTCCTTGCAGAGCTGTGGTTCCCAGCACTCCCTGCAGAAGAGAGATCGATTCTTAAATCCCTATAGGAATTCTCGGTCCGTGAAGGGAATGGGGGTCTCCTTACAACTCTCGGCATCCGTAGCAAACCCATAGCGAACTACTTTCTAGGATTCTTTGGGGGTAGTCATGCTGGTTGTTGTCTGATGGGAGCTGGAGTTTGGCAAGCTGGAGAGGAGGTTGAAGAGAACGAGGAGAACTAGGAAGGCTGCAAGGTGGGATAAAAAGGTAAAGGGACCCCTGACCATTAGGTCCAGTCTTGACCGACTCTGGAGTTGCGGTGCTCATCTCGCTTTATTGGCCGAGGGAGCCGGCATACAGCTTCCAGGTCATGTGGCCAGCATAACTAAGCCGCTTCTGGCGAACCAGAGCAGTGCACGGAAACGCTGTTTACCGTCCCGCCTGAGCGGTACCTATTTATCTACTTACACTTTGACGTGCTTTCGAACTGCTAGGTTGGCAGGAGCTGGGACTGAGCAATGGGAGCTCACCCCGTCACGGGGATTCGAACCGCTGACCTTCTGATCGGCAAGCCCTAGGCTCTGTGGTTTAACCCATAGCGCCACCCGCGTCCCGCAAGGTGGGATATGATACCCTTTAAATACAGGGGAACCTCGGAAGCTGAATGCCTTTGAACTTGAATGTTTCAGCTCCGAACGATAGAAACCCGGAAGTGATTGTTCCAGTTTTCAAATGATTTTTGGAAGCCGAACATCCTGTGTGGCTTCTGCTGCTCCTGATTGGCTGCGGGATGCTTCTGCAGCCAATCAGAAGCCCTGCCTTGGTTTTCGAACTGTTCCGGGAGTCAAACGGACTCCCAGAACGGATTAAATTTGAAAACCAAGGCACAGCTGTATAGGGATTTCTTGCTGCATTGAGTGTTGCAGCAGAATGCATTGTTCTGAGGCACTTTTAAATGCTTGGTCCCAAGTCGTGGGAGAGCCGATCTGGCTGAGAGCTAGTAAATCCAGACTCGCCGCATGTTGATGCTGCGTCACCCAGCATGAGCCAGACTTGAACTCGGGACCTTCAGATAAAATCTGAGTCACAAAGTACAGTAAGGCATTCTGGCTCTTTGCTGAGGGGAAACAAAACAAGGGTGAGGTGCGTGGGAATGCGAACCACAGTCAGCGAGAGTTGGAGTCGAATCCTTTCTTTTCCCAGGCTTGTGGAATGCAGTTTGGGCCACAGAGATCTCTTTACCAGTTGCGGAAAGGGGGAACGCTGCAAAATGACTTGAGAAGGAAGGTTTTGGATTTGAGCAGGTGCATTGAGGTTGTTTCCTGTGGGGAGTCCTAAAACCTTTCAATTGGCTGTGAAATCTCGTGCAACTGGGTACCGGTATATTTGTGGATCAATATAGTCTTTTGTTTTCAAATGGTACCCAACTTAATTTTGTTTCTAACATTTTGGGCAGGAACCAGGGGCACTCTTTTCTGAAAGGCCTCCACAATCACTTGGCCAGAATTTGCAAGTCCTCTTAAATTTCTGCCCAGGTTTGCCTAGGTTTGGCATGGCCAGTGATCAGGAATTATAGGAGTTGTAGTCCAAGCACATCTGTAGATTCACAGATCTTCCCCACTTCTGGCCTGAGGCCTGAAAGTTCTCACCTGTAATCTGATCACATGCTTAGCATAATCCTTTCCTTTTCCCCACACCTGGGAGTGTGTGGTTAGCTACCAACAATGCCCGTGAAAACCCAATGAGGATATCAGTGTGTGGGAGAGACTAGGATTGTGTCGTTAAAAAAAAAACCCAACCTGTTACCACTTTAACAGCCATACTTTGCTCTTTTAAAGGAGATCTTATCAGTAGTGTGTTGGTTTTTTTCTTTCAGTTTTGTGCTGGACTCCATTAGTCCTGCTCTGCTGTGGCCAGCTTTTACATCTGAGATGGGGAACATGTGTTTCTCCAGATTCTTCTAAACTACAAGTTCCATCATGTCAGCTCATTTGCCATCCTGGCTGGGGCTGCTGGGCATTGGAGTCAATGACATATGGAGGGCCACAGACTAGCTCTCTCATTCCTGTGCTGCCCCTGTATTGCTGTGTCCAGCATGAAATAATAATAATAATAATAATAATAATAATAATAATAATAATATTTCTACCCTGTCCATCTGGCTGTGTTGCCACTCTGGGCGGCTTCCAACAACAACAACAATAATAATCATTAATAGTAACAATCAGATCCTACATAAAAAGTCACAATAACTTTAAAATAAACAACTTAAATAAAGCAATATTCAGCAATCCATTGGAATCCAATAGTAAACAGCAACAGAAGTGCAGCTGCTTCTGTGATTTTCACCCATGCCTTTTTCTGCGCATCTTGTCCTAGCAAACACATTTTGCAACACATTTTGAATTAGTGACACAGGGCCAGGTCTGCTGGTGATATGGGGCTGCGGTGATGTGGTCTGGTGCTGGTGGTGGTTTGGCAGGGTTGTGGCAGAAGCAGGCAGTGTTGCAAGGAGAGCACGGTGCTACCTGCCTCATGATCCGTTATCCTAGCAAAGAAGGGCGGCGTTGCATCTTGATCCAGGTAAACCTGCCCTGCCATGAAAGGGATGCAGAGAGGATTGGAGAAACAGGTCCCTGGGGGCCCTCAACAGATTTTGTCACCCGTTCCTTAACCAATATGTGTGCGAAGGCAGCAGCTCTTGGCTCTGACTAGGTTGCTCTGTCTCTGCTACTGGTGTGAGCTCATATGCAACACACACACCCTCCCAGCATTGGAAATTCGCCAGGCGCATTTTGCATCTGGCTCTTGCGACCAAGTGAAGATGCTCAGCTGTCAGAATGGTACCTCATGTCTCCACCATCTCAAGCTCTTTGCCTGAGGATCCTGGGATCTGGCCTGCTTTCATGCACAAGCTACGCTTCCTGTAAAATTCTGTCCATTGTATGTTAACTGCGCAGTCAGAATGAATTTCGGGAAACAGAAAGACGTATTCAAAAAATGTGATTTTTGAGCCGTCTGGCCCAAAATGGCAACCAGGCTTTCTGTTTTGGTGACTGTAACTTTGGTTTAAGGAGCCATTTGGCACCCAGATTGCATATCTGGGATCTGCTGCCCGGTGGATCCTGCAGCCTGAGGTGGCCGCCTGGCTCTGACTGGGTTGCTCCATCCATGCTCACCAGCGTGAGCTCATATGTCATGCAGAGATCCTCCACATGGAAAGCAACAAGTTGGAGAGAAGGATTCTTTGAGATCTAGTCTGCTGTGTGGAAGTTATTTTTGTTGGTGGTTCTTTCGACCATTCGCAGCCTAAAGTGGTGCAGCTTAGACAGAGGTTGGCATGCCTTTTGGGATTGTCATATCAAGATATACATGGGCACCCTGTTCACGCACAGGCAGTAAAAGGATAGGGGCACTTGTGGCCCTCTGGGGGCTGTTGGACTCTGGTCAGCCCCAGCCAGCATGACCAATGGTCAGGGGTGATGGGAGATGTTGCCCAGTAACACCAGGAGGGCCACATGATGGTGAGCGGCTTTGAACTCGAAGGTCGTTGTCGGAAAGACGGGGTACATAATTAAATTTAATCAGATAGAAAAGCAAGTTCCCCACCCATGGTTTTGCAGCATGCAAAAACAAACCGGTGCAGATGTAACCATCCATTGCATGAACTCCCTGATGCCACAGGGGTTGTTGCTAGTGTTAGAAACTTGGGTATAAAAGCTAGGGGCCAAATGGCTTCTTAGCCCAAGGGCACAGTCCCCAAAATGGAATACAGTGGTACCTCGGGTTACATACTCTTCAGGTTACATACGCTTCGGGTTACAGACTCCGCTAACCCAGAAATAGTGCTTCAGGTTAAGAACTTTGCTTCAGGATAAGAACAGAAATTGTGCTCCGGCGGTGCGGCAGCAGCAGGAGGGCCCATTAGCTAAAGTGGTGCTTCAGGTTAAGAACAGTTTCAGGTTAAGAATGGACCTCCGGAACGAATTAAGTACTTAACCCGAGGTACCACTGTATCTAGTGGTCATTTTTTGGGTAAGACAGCTCCAAAGTCTTATTTTTCCAAAGATCGCCTGACTGTGATTGATTGCTGGTTCAGATGACAACCTTGAGCTCGGTTAAGAGCTCTGAGAACTTAAAGAAGAAAAGCCACTTGAACCTGGAACAGTCCATATGTGTGTGTGTGTGTGTGTGTGTGTGTGTGTGTGTGTGTGTGTACTGTTCCAGGATCAAGTGGGAGATATAGATATAGATATAGATATAGATATAGATGATATAGATAGGCCTATTCTGACCTCTTTTTCTGAATGGGTGACTGCTACTCAGGTTGCACAGAAAAAGCAATTTGGTTCCGGAAATTCATTCCGATTGTGCAGATAAAATATAACTGGTAGAATTCTGCAGGATGGGGTATTAGTGTGTGAAAACAGTCCAGATCCAATGATCCCTAGGTGTGCACCTCCAGGTGGTGGAAATGTCAGGTGGCACCCAAGCAGCTTCACTTGGTCACACCAGTTGATAGCTGGATGCCAAATGCGCCTGGCGCCTGGCTAATTTTGAACACTGATGGTTGCTACGTGGCCAGCGGTCAGGGGTAATATGGCTTATGGTCCATAAGATTCTGAAGAGTCACCTGCTCCCCATCCCTGGTCTTCATTGTGCATCAAGTTCGATGACATGACACATGTGCATTTTTGGTGCCGGGCAAAGCATAGAGGTCTGGTCTCCCGCACTAAAATGTTCCCGTAACCTAAACTTCAAGGTAGGCTGTTTTCTTTTGTTGAGCCCTCTTAGATTCTTTCATTAGCCTCCTGCCTTCTGGTTCCCAGTTTTACTAGCTAATTAGGTGTCCCTCTGTCTCCTAGCTCAGTGTCCACTCGTTGCCTAGTAGCTTGGTTTGATGGGATAAGATTCAGGATGTGGAATTCTTGTGCCTGACTGGTGTATTTATTCAAAGATGTGCAAGGGTCAGACATGGCATGGGAAAAATTAAGCCTCTGTGCCGTATGCATGCATTCCTCGGCTATCTTAATTGCTGATCTCTAGAGTGGGGATTGATGTACACCTCTTAACCCTCTATCATCTCTGAGGTGCATGGCTTTGAAAGCAAGGAGGTTGTATTTGGGTGCTAGCAGAATCCCTCCCCCCCCCCCAGTTCCTAACAGGAACAGAACCCAAAACGCAAATTGAGTATCTCTTTGAATTGTGGAAGGGACTGGTCTACAAGAACAGGAGAACTTGCTGTGTGAAGAATTGTTTTTTTCACACTCTTGCTTACTGCTACAAGTTTCTGAGTGGACACGCTCTTAATTTGAGCTGAAATTAATGACTATCGGACCTTTCCCGATATCGTTGAGGGTGGACACTCACTGCTAGAGTAGAAGTGATTAGTGTTGTTGTCTAGTGAAGTTCACAAATGCCACAAATTTGGCAGACCTTTGAGGTGTCTTGAGACTCTGTTTCAGTGCAGAAAATAACTTTCTTGAGTGTGTGTTTGTCGGCTGGTTGTTTTATTTCAAAACTAAAAAAACAACAACAACACCCCAAAACAAATTTGCAAAGGGCCGTATTGGAATGTGGCAACGCCAGGTATGAAGTAACAGTAGCACTTTCAGCAAAAATATTCTGCTTTTCCTCCCTCCCCATCTGCCCGGGGTGGGGCAGGCCAGTAAACAATACTAAGAATGAGCAGGAACTGTTGCTATGCCTTAAAACAGAACATCTTCCCAAACGATTATGCAAGGCTGCAGTGAAAACATCCTCTTAACTGAAGGTAGCAGGAGTGACCATAATTGGCTCTTTGTTTTTTGGTGTGGTATGCTTCCAACTTGCTCTAACATGTTTTGGCTCTGTGCATTGACTCAGGAGGAGTGTTGCTGCAATTAATCCAAGGCGGAAGGCTGCCTTGACAGATAGAACTGCCTCCAAGTTGAGCTGAATGTATATTTATGTTCTGGCTCTGGCATCTTGTGCTGTGTGTGTGTGTGTGTGTGTGTGTGTACACTTGATGGAAGGAGGGTCCTCAAGTGTGTGCTTTAAAAAACGTCTGTATGTTGCGCAGGGAGAAAGGCCTGTTTAGTACGCAGCGCTAATGAAATATGAATGCAATAATAAATAACGATAATAAAAAAAGTTTGGCCACTCATTGCAAGATGGGGCACATGTCTCTACTTGCCCAACTTTTGCTTACTTTTCCAAGCATTTTCCCACAGTTATCAGTGAACGAAATGGAATCCTCGTCTGCTTTCAATATGAAACATATTTAGGCTGCAATCCAACACTGTCTATTTAAAAAGCAAGCTAGACTCCCCCCTCCCCCCCATTCAGAGGCTGCATGCTGAGCTAAGTCGTGAGAAATGAATTTGCTTTTGAATTCTTTTCGCTCTCTCTCTCTCTTTTTTTTAAAGTCAGCGTTATGCCTTACACCTTGCAGTTGTTTACTTTTCTTTCAGGGAAGCTGTTTGTCTCTGCAAAAAACCTAATTCCCTTCTCGCCACCCTTGCAAATGGATTGATAGCCAGTGCTAACAATGTCATTAGTCAGAAGGCAAACTTTAAGCTTATGAGTCACAACTTTCTTTTCTGCTGCCTGAGTTAGAGTCTTAAGTGTAATTTCCCTTTCGCCCACGTCCCACGAAGCTAAGGTGACTGAACACTGACACCTGGTCACCGGAATATTTTGGCACACTCCCAATGTGTAGGCTTGTGGAATTGTCCGGCTGAGAAACCAAGCTTGTTCATTGTCTGTGTGTCTAAATTTCTATCCCTTGTGGTCATTGTAAAAACTTCAGATTTTCCAACCACAACAACTTCAATCTTTGCATGACTACAGGACTCTTGGTATTTCTCTCTCTCTCTCCTTTTCTTTCTTTTTTCTTTTTAAAAAGACCATTTAAAACACAGACGACCACTCCAGATGTGTCAGGGGAAGGATAGTGACTGAAAGCGCCACACACATTTTAATGTGCAGAAAGATGAACCAGGGGCTGCCTTGGCATCGTACACCTGCGTGTCCCACAATTCTCACCAACATTTTACAGCATGTTGTAGCTTGCCGTCTTGTAAAATACATCACTTAAGACTTGTAGCATTTGATGGTAGGCTTCGTAGAAAACATCCCTGTCCCTGAATTATCGTGGGTTGGTGTCTGTGTGTCCTTCCTCCTTCTTGCCCCTCCCCATGCCACACTTTTAACTGAAGTTTTCTGAACTTGTGGGATGGAAGGAGGAGGGACACATGAAGAAAGTGTGATTAACTCTTGAAGATTTCTTTCTCTTTCTCTGCTCAAGGCTAGGGATAAAAGGTGCTTTGGTTTAGTTAGCATCCTTCTTGCTTGAATATGTTTGGCTTGTGTACATCCCAAGTGCGCAGGTGGCAGTTAGCCTTTTTATTTCTTCCCTCTTACTCCAAAGAGGTTTAGGGTTGGGTTTTGAAGTCCCCCACCCCTTTCCTTTTTCTTTTTAAGACTGCTTTATGCAGTTCTCTCCCTCCTCCTCCCTTCCCTTCCTAGATTCACCCGTCCTTTCCTTTAGTTACCTGATACTTGTGGGAGCAGCGATGGCTTTGCCACAGACAAAGCGTTCAAAGAGGTGCTGAAAAGCAGAGTCTCTAGAGATTACGGTTCTGAACCTTGACAGTTACAATCCTTAGCAACCTGGCTTTGGGCATGCAGAATGGGGAAATGTTGGGATCTTGCAAAAAAAAAAAAAAAAAAGGTTTTAACCCCCCCTTTTTTAAAAAAAATAAATCCTCCTCCTTTGGGGGCCACTTTCCTTCCTTTACAGCGTGCTTAAGAAACCACAGCGACATCTCAGCTGTGCAAGGCCTCAAACGGTGGATGCAGAACTTCCTGGTTAAGAATGTGAGATGCATTAGCGATGACAAAGATAAAGAGACCTTTCACCTTAAATTGCTCGAGTCAGTCTGGATAAGGTAGCTTAGTCAGACTGGATAAGGTAGTTTAAGCAGCTGCAAGAGGATCACATTTGTCTCGGCTGTAATCTATTGCCTATTTATGTTTAGAGGAGCACATGATTGTCAGGAAAATGCGTGCAGAGTCGTTTCTCCAAAGCACGCTCTAATAAAAAGATGGCAGTGGCTCCAGTAAGCCTCATTACCACTATTTCTATTTTTTGATACTAACATGGTGTCTTTTGCTGTCTTTACAGAGATCCTACACGTTGCTCGTTGAAGCCTGGGATTACAGTAACGACAGTGTTAGTAAGTATGCACATGGCCTTTTTTGTGTGTGTCTCCTCCGTTTGCCACCGAGCTGTCTAAAAGCAAGCAGCAAGGACAGCTTAAATAGAGGAATGGGCTGGATCTTTGCAGAGATTCTGGGTCGGAAGAAGTATGCACTGATCCTTTATGGGAAGGGGCAAATGGAAGGGTATGAACCAGCCCCCTCAGACGTGGGAGCCTCCTGGTGTTTTGTAGTTCAAAACATCTAGACAGTTCCAGGTTGGAGGCTGGTGTGGAGCTTGTCTGTTTCAGCCTGAATTCCGTGCAGGAGACAAGCTTAAAAAGGTAAAGGGACCCCTGACCATTAAGTCCAGTCACAGACGACTCGGGGGTTGTGGTGCTCATCTCGCTTTATTGGCCGAGGGAGCCGGCGTACAGCTTCCAGGTCATGTGGCCAGCATGACTAAGCCGCTTCTGGCAAACCAGAGCAGCGCACGGAAACGCTGTTTGCCTTCCCGCCAGAGTGGTACCTATTTATCTACTTGCACTTTGACGTGCTTTCGAACTGCTAGGTTGGCAGGAGCAGGGACCGAGTGATGGGAGCTCACCCCGTTGCGGGGATACCAACCACCGAACTTCTGATTGGCAAACCCTAGAAGACAAACTTAAATTCCCCTAATTCCAGGGTGAGCTTCACTTGAGATGATCTGCACACAGCGAGGGTTGCCCAGTAAAATGGCAGCTGCCTGAGCCTCTGAGCTGAAAAGACCCATCTGTTTGGAGAAGCAATCTCCATGCTATGTTAGAATCCACCAGTAGACCATGGGTCGGTTGGTGCATTGCCAGTAGCGGGTATTAGGATGATGGCAGGGAATGTCCCCCAGAAAATCGCAAGTGTTCTGTGCTTCCAAGTCGAGCTGAAATCCACAGATCTCCATGCGAGTGGAAGTTCTTTGGTGTGTTGTGGTAAAGGTGACTGGAAACAATGCTATTCAGCCTCCAGAGAGGCCAGGGTAGTCTTCCAACAACATCTCAGTTTGACATCAGCAACAATGGCACTACTTCAGTCATTTCTGTGCATGAGATTACGAGCAGTCCGCCCTGCCATTTCTCAGAAGGCTGCAAAATTGTGTGGAAATAAACAGGTTTTGCAGTGGACTCGTAGGTGCAGTCGATTCAGAATTTCTCACAAACAAGTGTGCTTTATAAAAACGCTGATTCAAAGAAACCATTCTGCAGAATCCTTTTCATCTTTAAGTAAAGCTTTAAAATTTGGTTCATGTGGTTGTCTCTGCTGTCCCTTTTCCATGACTCAAGGGGCATTCAAACTAGTGCCCCCCAGATCTTGCTGGATTCGCACTCACATTCACCCTATGTTTGCGACCCATGTGCTTCACAAACATCCTACAGCCCCTTCATGCAGTTTTGTTGTGCGAGTACCAATTTACAGATGACCTTTTGGCGGCTCCTAAAGCATACCCCAATCACGAACGTTGCGTGATTCCCATGTAGCGAAAGAAACGGACAGTGGGAATGGCACCGTGTCGAGATGGGTTTGGCTAAACTGCCATTGAAACTTGTTGCTTAATGGGCGTTTGATTAGATCCCTTTTCCCATAGAGATACTTTGGATCCCTTGTGAGTTGAATGTTTTGGCTCCTGAACGCCACAAACCAACCCAGAAGTGAGTGTTCCGGTTTGCGAACATTCTTTGGAAACTGAACTTCTGATTGGCTGCAGGAGCTTCCTTCAACCAATTGGAAGCTGCGCCTTGGTTTCCAAATGTTTTGGAAGTCAGACGGACTTCCGGAACGCATTCTGTTCGACTTCCGAGGTACCACTGTATTGGTTGCATCTGTAGCTGCCCTTGCTTTTCAGAGGTAAATGAGAGCTTGCGGTACTTTCTCCAGATGTGCCCCAGCCTCATCTCTTACTGCTGACACTGCAACTGCCTGTCGTCTTAAAAGGCTGCTTGCTATTTGCATCCTGGCCTATGCTCAGAAGTTGACAGTTTTCTCAGTCTTGCTGTTGCCCTTCTTAAACCATAAATATTCAACGGTATTATCTGTCGTGACTGTTTGCACCAAGTTGGGCGGAAGGTTCTACTTGGGTTTCCCCTGTCGAGGCTAAAAGTATTCCAACATTTTCACGCTTTGCATACAAAAATGGCTCCACGGCTAGGATACAGGCAGGCCAAGTGACATGGCCAAAATACGTACTTCAATTGCACAGAATAGTTTTCCTAACATATATGAAGTGCTTAGAGTAATTGTGCTTGACTTTAAGAGAATCCTGTAAATCTGGTGTTGCTACTATTCACATATCGCAGATGTGAATCATTTTATAGGGAAGAAAACTCAAATGATGTGCTCATTGTAAAACTCTTCTCTCCTATCCATGCAATCTTGGTCATTCTCTTCCCCAAATCATTGTGCAAAATTATCTTCCAGGGAAAGCTGTCTTAACAGCAACTGTCCAAATGGGTCTTGTTAGAGGCAGCTTATTAAGGTATCGCCATAAAGATAAAAACAAAACAAAAGACGTTGTTATGGTACTGCAAAAAGAGTCACCCAAACACTTTGGTTCCAGAATGAAGTGCATCTTACAATGGACACTGGTGACATTGGATGACGGATTGCACACAGATATACATGCTTATGTTAACCTCAAATGGAAAACGGGAGAAATCTTTTACAGGTGTTTCTGCATTGACCCCTGTGAGGAAATGCCTGTGTTTGAAAGACGCTGTTGTTTGCCGGAGGATCCCAGTCCTTTTCATTCAGAGCCTTTACTATCTCTCCTTTGAATAGATCTCATCTTTATTTCATGAAACCGAAATTTCCAAAGCTTCACAATGAGCCCTTTATTTTGCCTTAACATTCTGGAGGCAAAAGATGTCCTCCAACCAAAATGTCAAAATGCATTTTCTGAACCAGAAATGTTTGACCCAGTTCAGATGTGGCCCTGCATACGTTTGCAATTTAAACTTGCAATAGATTGAGCATTGTATATTTTAAAGGGATCACACTAGAGATCCCTTACAATGAAGAACGCCTCCTCTCTTTTTTTGTCTCTTATTTACTACTGGCAAACATTTACCAGAACTTGCTGGTGAATAGAGTACAATTTTCCTGCTTTTTGCTCTTTAAAAATAATAATAATAATAAGATAGTTGAATTTCTAGAGCATTTTACAGATGCCTAGTGTGCTCTGATTTGCAGTGAGTGCTTTGCCCCTTCCTGAAAGTGATTAACTTGGATAACCTTTTTTTTTTTTAATTGCAAACCTCAAACTTGGCTAGTTAAAGAATCGCAGAACTGTAGGGTTGTAGGAAGGGACCACAAGAGTCATTTAGTTCAACCCCCTGCAATGTAGGAATCTTTTCCCCAACTTGAGGCTTGAACCCATGGCCCTGTGATTAAGAGCCTCATGCTCTACTGACTGAGCTATTCCAGGTGAGATGGTGAACACCAGTCTCCTAAACCAAATCCATAGGAACAGCTGGAAATAGTTAAGGGTGTGTCTTGAGGATGGGGGTCCTGTGGCCCTCCCAGATGTTTTGGAACAACAATGCCTATTTTACCTGACCATGGGCCATGTTGCCTGGGGCTGTTCAGAACTGGAGTCCAGTAATATCCGAAGAGCTGCAGACTCTCCATGTAGCCTGTCTGTCTAGTCTTGCATCCTGTTTACAGCAGCATCCGGCCAGTTACTTCCGGGAAGCCCTCACGCAGGCATGGAGTCGACAGCTGTCCCCAAGCAAAGATGCCCTCTTATTCAAAAAGGCCAGAAAGATCTGTTATTGCTGGGTTAGCCAACGAGAATGCATCTCTGTGTGCCATTGCTGTGGTTTTCAGCTGTGCCATCCTTGTCCTTTGAGAACGTAACTGGACCACTGCTGCTCAGATGTCAGTGGCCCAGAGATGGAAAGAAGAAGAGAAGAATGGCAGATTAAGTTGATGGACTATGCTGAATTGGCAAAAACAACCAGAAGAATAAGAAACTGGGATGACCAAAATTTTAATAAGGAATGGGGGAAATGCATAATTTCCCTTAAAAAGCATTATAAACAATTAAAATCATTAGTAGGATTGGACTAAGACTTGTAGTTCAATGTTGAATTTTGGGTATAATGGAGATTTAAAAGATTTGGATTAATAGAAAAGATACAGGAGGAAAAGGTTAATATAAGGACCCACAAAAGAGAGGAGGGAAGTTCAAGAGATTCCTTGGAATTCTCTTTTCATGTAGGTGGTTGGATAATGGATTGTAAATTTCTACAATCTGAAAAGCTAAATTATAAAGAAAAAAGAGAACGTAACCGGACGTAGGGTGGACCACCCTGTTAAGAACGGTACACAAATATGTGTGTTTATCGGTTTGGGGGCTGAAGTGAGGCAATAATAAATAACCATTAATGGATGAGAGCTTGGGAGGGCTTTCTTCAGATGCTTTCTGGCCTTCGTCTTCAAGCAGAAACTGCTGGATGTGCTCGCAAAGTTTGGTTGAAGTCTTGCCTTTCCTGATGCTATCTTTTGGCATCATCATCAGCGCCACCTCCTCTGGCCCTTGGCAGCTGTTCTTAGCTGACCAGGGCAGTGGTCATTGGTCGTCTGCTGGTAAGCAGCATGACCAGAGAACTTCCTCCAGTGTTTTACTTGTTGCTGCTATGTCTGAGAAGCCATTCTGAAGATGGGACTCGTCTGAAGAAATAACTCCAAGCTCTCTTGTTCTGCCTTCTGATTCTGTAGCATAGGGAAAAATGTGTTGTCAGGATTTCTCCATAAATTGAAGTCAAGGCACTATATCCTGAAGATTCGTAGGTTTTTAGTGTGATGCATTGGTTTGTCCTCTGTAAGAGCAGAACTTTCAGGAGTCGGTACGTTTGTTCTCCATCTTGAGGTGTGTGCTTGGAAGAACAGGAATGTTGTGATGCAGTCGAGTGCCGTATTGAACTTCGGCAGCATGTTAGACGCAGGTGTGTGCAGACCCGCATATCTGAAACCTGTTGTGAGGGTACAGTGCACAGCGATCCCTCTTGCTCTTCTGGCTTCGGGGATAGCCACGGAAAGCCTCTTGAGTGCAGTGGGAGCGCTCCTCCCTCTTCACTCAAGAGGCTTTGCGTTGCTTTCTTGTTTCTTGTTTTCCTCCTCTAAAAACTAGGTGTGTCTTCTGGCCGGGTGCGTCTTATAGAGCAAAAAATATGGTACCCATTTCACAACTGAGAGACTACAGTGGTACCTCGGGTTACAGACGCTTCAGGTTACAGATGCTTCAGGTTACAGACTCCGCTAACCCAGAAATAGTACCTCAGGTTAAGAACTTTGCTTCAGGATGAGAACAGAAATCACACAGTGGCGGCGTGGCGGCATCGGGATGCCCCATTAGCTAAAGTGGTACCTCAGGTTAAGAACAGTTTCAGGTTAAGAACGGACTTCCAGAACGAATTAAGTTCTTAACCTGAGGTACCACTGTATTCTTAAAACTTACACATGCATACTATGAGGGGAAGGAGCTTCTAAGCTACCAGAGTCCCAGGACAGCTTTTTTAAAAAACAAAACAAATTGACCACCGAAGAGTTTTTCGAGTGCTGGAAGGGGGCTGTGGTGGAGCATTTGCTTAGCTTGCCGAATGATCCAGGTTCAATCTGTAGCATCCACAGGGATATTTTGAAGGACCTTGAATAGCCAGCCTGGAGAAGGCTGCTCTCTGAGGCCTGAAAGAGCTGCTGCCTTCCAGGGGAGGCGATATCAGGCTACGTTGGACCAATGATTGTGACTCTGTGTATTATCTAAATTGGCTTCCTGTGTTTCACCTCCTCCACAGTGGCAGCCGGTCACATTAACTGCATTATCTTGTTCGGGCTCCCTCCCCTCACCCCCGCCAGTTCGCCAGTAGCTCCTCCTAAAAGCCTGACACGACTCACCTAGTTTGTTCATTCATATATTGGATTTATTTATATCCACCTTCCCTCCAAAGTAGCACACGTCGTTTTTCTCCCCATTTACCTTCCCTGCAACCCTGTGAAGTAGGTTTTAGGCCGATGGGCTACGCCTGGTCCAAGGCCACCTAGTGAGTTTCCTGGCTGAATAGGGATTTTGAACCCTGGTCTCTCGGCTCTAACCAGTGTACCACACTGCACTGAGTTGCACGAACTTGCTCCCTGTTAACACCCAGTCTTCCAGCACAGTGGAGCTGAAATTTACCGTGCAAGCCTTACTGTGGTTTCTGTGATTCTTGCACAGGCTATGCAGGGTTTGCAAAGCGAAGCCAAAAGCGTGTTCCTGGGAATGTAAATCCTTCCCCCGCCCCCTTCATTCAGTTCCTAATTGCTGCAGTTCCTCCTTTTTTACCCCTTTGATTCAAATCATATGATTCCTGTGTGCGGAACAATGAGAACTGTAAGGATCGCTTTCTCTCCAAGCTGGCTGACTTGACTCTTTGCACTGTCTGCCGCCATGGGATTGCCAGTCCTTAACCTTCCATCCTTGCGGCCCGGTAATGGCAGGTTTGTACAACTCTGAACTAATTTCCTTTTGGTTTCGTGCACGCTGCCAAGCGGGGAGAGGGAGCGAGGAATATGTGGAAAATCCTACCAAAGCTGCTTACGAGAGTGTCCTTGGTGGTGGTGGTTGTTGCTGCTTCCCCCTGTGTGGTTGCTAATAACTGGCCAGTAATGCCACATCCCAGGAGTCACTTTTCTCTGTGACGCCGCATGATCCCACTTAGCTTTCCCTGGACAGAGAATTGTGCGAAGAAGCATCGGTGTGAACTGGTCCATATGAGTGTGGACGTGGGTGGCGCTGTGGTCTAAACCACTGAGCCTCTTGGGCTTGCCAATCAGAAGGTCAGCAGTTCGAATCCCCATGACGGAGTGAGCTCCCGTTGCTCTGTCCCAGCTCCTGCCATCCTAGCAGTTTGAAAGCATGCCTGTGCAAGTAGATCAATAGGTACCACTGCGGCAGGAAGGTAAACGGCATTTCGGTGCACTCTGGTTTCTGCCATTGCGCCAGAAGCAGTTTAATCATGCTGGCCACATGACCCGGAAAGCTGTCTGTGGACAAACGCCGGCTCCCTTAGCCTGAAAGCGAGATGCGCGCCACAACCCCATAGTCGCCTTTGATTGGGCTTAATCATCCAGGGGTCCTTTACCTTTTTACCTTTGCTAATGAGAATGCTGAGTCAGGCCATTGGTTCTGCCTAGATCAGTATTGTCAGCACTGGCTGGAAGCATCTCTCCGGTTCAGACAAGGGATTCTCCCTGTGCTACCGGATGGCAAGGATTGAATGCAGGAACATGGGGGCTCTCTGGCCCTACCCCAAAAGAGTCAGCCATGGCCTTTGGTTGACAGCAGGAGCTGGAACACAAGGCCCTGGTGCTGGCTGAAAATGCATAGTACTTATTTCATGCTGGGTTTGCAAATAGCCTGTGACTGGCGCTAATTTGAGAGTGGGGGGAGCATTTATGTCTTGCATGGTGATTTGCACCAGCATTCAGATCCTTTCCCTGGAACCTGGAAGGCAAGCAAGACAAATGATTTCATATATTGTTGTTGTTGTAAACCGATGGAATTTATTTTGAAGGCTGGCATAGAAGTACCTTAAGTAAAAGAGTGTCCTATCCCCAACAATCCTTCTTTGAAAAGTGGGTGTATAGTGTCTATTCACCTTTTTCTCTCCCATACCCTCCAACATTTCTCCGATGAAAATAGGGACGTCCTAAGGAAAAGCGGGAGGGACGCGGGTGGTGCTGTGGGTTAAACCACAGAGCCTAAGACTTGCAGATCAGAAGGTCGGCGGTTCTAATCCCCACGACGGGGTGAACTCCCATTGCTCAGTCCCTGCTCCTGCCAACCTAGCAGTTCGAAAGCACGTCAAAGTGCAAGTAGATAAATAGGTACCACTCCGGTGGGAAGGTAAACGGCGTTTCCGTGTGCTGCTCTGGTTCACCAGAAGCGGCTTGGTCATGCTGGCCACATGACCTGGAAGCTGTATGCCGGTTCCCTCGGCCAATAAAGCGAGATGAGCGCCGCAACCCCAGAGTCGGTCACGACTGGACCTAATGGTCAGGGGTCCCTTTACCTTTAAGGAAAAGCGGGAGATACCGGAAACTGGGATAGCTTCTGTAAATCTGGGGCTGCCCCTGAAAAATAGAGACAATTTGAGGCTCTGCTGTCCCCCATTGCCCTGCTTCTTGAAACAGAGGTTGTCTCTGTGGTGGTTTACGTTTAAAAGGCCCTGGGTTCAGGTCCTGCTGCTGAAACCTCGTCCTATTGAAAGGTTCTCAGCTAGCCAAGCTGGGCATAGCTGTCAACTTTTCCCTTTTTAAAGAAGGAAATTCACTTATTCCAAATAGGATTCCTCGCAAGCAAAGGGAAAAGTTGACAGCTATGAAGCTGGGAATGATCCTGGCTTTGGGATGCTGGAAAGCCACTAGTCTTATGGAGTAGAAAATGCAGTAAACAAGAACAACAGCCCTAGTCCTTCTGAGTCAGGGGGTAAACTTGACTTCATGGGCATTCCTCATTTTGTTTAATATTTTGGATACTGCCCTGCTGCCACCTTACTAATACCTAAGCAATGTTGAAGCTAGCATGTATGCTTTCCCCCTCTTATATTTGCCTTCTCCCTCCTCCCTTAGTCTACAGAGGCAGCTTTTGGCTGTTTTATGATAGATTTTCAGTCTGCAGTCAAGCAGGTTGTAAGGTGCTGTCAGATCATTGAAGTCTCGAGGCCGGGCTAGCCAGCGAAATACCACAGATATGTACCAGATCCCAGGCACGTGTGAAATATTAGGGTTTTTGCTGATCTGTTGCGTAGCTGTTTCGGGTTTTCTTGAAAAGTCTGGAAGGCTGTCCTATAACCAGAGAGTCTTTGAAGGAGATTCCAGGGGAATCTTTGCTTCCTTGTCCAGAGCGATAAAAAGAATTTTGAGCCCTGGCTACTACGACTAAAAAAGAGGGGGTAATTTAACACGACTGCTTGCTTTCGCAGAGGGTGGGGGCAGAGAAAACCTGAAAACCAGGTGAACTTCTGAAAGTGGAGTGCCAATGTCACCGCTTGGCTCAGAAGGGAAATTGTTTCCAGCTTATACCTGCCTGGCAGGAAATCTCTAGCATGAATCTTGCCCAGAGCAAATAGGGTTTTGCAACACTTCTACTGTAGTTGGCCTGAGGGCGTTTATAAGTCAGATGTGAAACGATATCTTGCAGATGGGTGAATAATCAGAACAAAGTTCAGGGCATTTGCAAGCAGAGAGTTTTGCATTCTTGTTGTTGCAGAGTACAGCCTCTCCTGCCTTTTGCCTTCCTCTGGTTGTGAAGAAGCCATTTTTCTCTTGGGCTTTGCATTGGTGCTCTGGCTTTGAGGTTTCACAGCGAGCATTTCTTGGCATCTTAGAGTAGGGCTGGGCAATACCTGGTTTTTGACATCGCGATATATCACCAGCCAAACACCGCGATACAACAATATATTGTGATGTCTGAAATAAGGATGGAGTTATGTAGAGGCATTGAGTGGCTGACTTCACATTTTTACCCACGTTGAGATTTTTGTATGGCGCACGCAATATATTGCCAGGTCAAAAATTATGAAACCGATATCACAATATGTACTTCAAACTGGTTTTGGACAATATATCGCCCACCCCATATGAGACAGCCACAACCAGCCTCTGTGGATACAGTTCAGGGCTAAATAGACTTGAGAAATATGGACCACTTATAAATGCCATCTCCAACTCCACGAAAGATACCATCAATGGTGTCTCCAAAAATTTTTACACATCACTTGGGAAGACAGGCGAACTGATGCCTGTGTACCAGAAGAAGCAAAGATCACCAGTGTCAAAGCAATGATTCTTCAACATCAGCTTTGTTGGACTGGTCATTTTCAGATGCCTGATTATCGTCTTCCAAAGCATTGCTTTATTCCGAACTCAAGAATGGAAAGCGTAATGCTGGTGGTCAACAAAAGAGGTTTAAAGACTGTCTCAAGGCAAATCTAAAAAAATGTAGTATAAACACTGACAACTGGGAAACACTGGCCTGAGAGCGCTCCAATTGGAGAACAGTCTTTACCAAAGGTGTCATAGGCTTTGAAGACTCTTGAACTCAGGACGAAAGGGAGAAATGTACTAAGAGGAAGGCACGCTTGGCAAATCCACACCGTGATCAATTCCTGCCCAGAAATCTATGTCCCCACCGTGGAAGAACATGTGGATCCAGAATTGGTCTCCACAGTCACTTACGGACTCACTGTTAAAACTGTGTTCATGGAAGACAATCTTACTCAGCTACAAGCGATCGCCAAAGAAGAAGAAGAAGATAAGGGCAGCTTCCTATGTGCTTACGGCTTCAGTATGTGTACGCATAATGGGAATTGGCATAGCTAGTAAAAGGGGGGAAAAAAGGAAGTATGTTTAAAAAGATGAAACGTTTAATATCCTTCACTCATTAGATTGTTATGCCTTCAGGCAGGGCCTGCATCTTACTTTGATAGCGGTGCCTAAATCTTCAAGACAGATGATAATGTGGAGTTTAAATATTAATAAGTGCTATCCCACAGTCAGATTAATCTTGTGTAAATAGTCCTCGTAGTGGTTTTGGCGATGTTGGGTAAATGAGGCAACGCTTAGTGTTTGCCCATCTGCATAAACACTCACCAGCCGGCAACAGTTTCAGTTGCTGTCGTGTGCAGAAACCATGCAAGGTGTTTGCATGTGTGTGCTTGTTGCACAGGGTTCTGGATCCCGATTTTGTGTAGAAGAAAATGTATGTACAGTTGTACCTTGGAAGTCAAATGGAATCCGTTCCAGAAGTCCATTCGACTTCCAAAACGTTTTGAAACCAAAGCGCGGCTTCTGATTGGCTGCAGGAAGCTCCTGCAGCTAACCGGAAGCCACAGAGGCCCCCTTGGACTTTCAGGTTCCAAAGAACGTTCGCAAACCGGAAGACTCACTTCCGGATTTGCGGCGTTCAGGAGCCGAAACGTCTGAGTACCAAGGGGTTTGGGATCCAAGGTACGACTGTACTAGCATCCATGAGGGGACAAGTGTGTGAGTCAGCCCTGAGCTTTGAAGGAAAATCATCTCTCCAGGCTTCTCAGCTGTGCTGCACTTTGGTGGGGATATTTCTGTGTATCCTGGTTTAACCTCGCTGATTCTTCCTCCTTTTTTGGGGTTCCATTCATATGAAAAGGAGCGCCGCAACAGAGATCCGCAGGCTGCTCTTTCCCTTCTGATTTCTGTTTTCTTTCTCCCTTAAGACGCCGATAGCATCATCGAAAAGGCATCTCACTCTGGGATGATCAACCCGAGCCGCCAGTGGCAGATATTGAAGCAGAATGCAGGTGTGGCTCACTTTGAATACCAGATCCGGGTCACTTGCGACGAGCACTACTACGGCTTTGGCTGCAACAAGTTTTGCCGGCCGAGAGATGACTTTTTTGGGCACTACACCTGCGATCAGAACGGCAACAAAACGTGCTTGGAAGGCTGGATGGGCCTGGACTGTGACAAAGGTTTGTGATGCCCGTGTTACGTTCCCTGGGTATTGTGTGGCGCTAGAAGTCAGGCAGCACCAAAGATAATTTCCGTTCCCCTTAATTCCAGGCAAGCTGAGGGCAAACAGGTCAGCTATTTAACCGAGAGTCCCGCACCATCCAAAGCAAAGTTGGAGGGTTCTTATGCCTCGTTTAACGATGCATGATAATGGGTCTTGCAACCTCAATTTAGTGCAGTGTTTCTCAAACTTGGGTCTCTGGCTTTTGTTGGACTACAGCTCCCATCATTCCTAGCTAGCAGGACCAGTGGTCAGGGATGATGGGAGTTGTAGTCCAAAAACAGCTGGAGACCCCAGGTTCAAGGAAAACTGATTTTGCGGCTCAATATAACAGAGGTTTTTGAATGGTGGAGACTGAGATGGAAGTATTCAGAGTTGTGCTTGAGGAATCCATCTTCTACTGAGTCAGGCAATTGGTCCATGTAGCTTAGTAGTCATCTACTTGCTGCCAGTCAAAATTGGAAACAAGATGCAGGTAAGAATGGAGGCCCAGCAGTAGAACTCCCATCATCCCTGGCCATGCAGCAGGGGCTGATGGGATCTGTAGTCCCAACAGTAACCCTAGGGCCACAAATTTCCCATCCCTGGTATAAGGCAGCTTCATAAGTCCACACACATGACAGTAAATCAGATACGTTTCATAGTATGAAGAAGCAAGGTTTCTTCTTCTCTGATAGTGAAGCTTCAAGAGAAAGGTGCTTGCTCAAGAGAAAGGTTCTTTTTAGGTTACGAGCCTGTATCCTAAATAATACTCAGCTGTGGGGCTGTGCTTTTTCACTTTCAAACGCAAATTGGTTTGCAATGATGAGAAGTAGGGGTGGATCTGCGGTAGAACATTTTGGCTCTTTTGAAAGGGAATGGACTCTCTTCCTGAGGAAACGTGGAGACTTATAATGTATATGTTGGAAAGAGAGTGTTTTGCACACCACGGCAGGCTTTTGAAAACGGGACTTAAATTTCTGCTCCAGGGATGATGGAGTTGCTGTCATGAGACATTACCTACCCTAGTTTCTCTTCCAGTAGACTTGATCCAAGGGACCTGTTAAAACCTTGGATTTGGTAGGATTACAGTACTAGCGGGAGATTAAAACGTTCCCACGAGGGGCGAGAGTCCAGGGAAAGGTTCTCCTGTGCTGTTCGGGGAGGGGGGACCCAAAACACACCCTTCTAATCCCCCCCTTCTTCTCTCCGCAGCCATCTGTCGTCAGGGTTGCAGCCCCAAACACGGTTCTTGCAAAATTCCCGGAGAGTGCAGGTAAACCAAACAAATCTTCCTTGGGCTAAGCAATCGTAACTTTTCAAATTAAACATGGGGCTGTCTAGCCGGGGGGAGGGAGGGAGGCAGGAAGAAAGAAACGCCACCCCTTCTTCCCGCTGCATTATGAAATGTTTAATTGCGTGTTCTCCATTCCCGGCGTCGGTGAGGTGAAACGTTTCCCTCACTCGAAATACCCAGCGATCTGTCCGTGTTGGGCATGGAGGCGAGAGGACGAATGCATTTGTGGATGTTTCGCAATGAGCTGCGGCCGAAATTCTTCGCAAACATTTTTTCCCCCGTGTGCAAAATCTGCTGATCGAGGCATTTTCCTCTATAGTGTGTTTAATTACATTACTTGCTTTCATCCCTCCCTCCCTCCTCCCTCTCCATTCCCTCAACTTTGTCCCCCATCAATAGGCAAAAGTTGAGCATTCTTTAGAATAGGATTAATGCATCTCTTGGTTCCTCTGGTCTTGGGAGCCAGACTTGGGAGTGATGAGAGGTTAATAGCTTGGATGGAATCTTGTCCGTAGATACCGATGAAGGCAGAGTCTTTTGCCGTAGTCTTTTGAAGTCTCTTCTGTGTTGGCCAGCAGACAAGGAGAAAGGGAGGGAGGGAGAGGCAGAGCTTGCATATAGCCAGACAGTATAAGGGATCCAGCTAGAAAGCCAAGAATCTCATTTGCATGTATTTCTAATAATCGGTTTCCCCTTTCGTATCCAGGTAGGGTTTCTGGATGATGTTGGGGTTATGTAATCCTTGTTTGTATAAGCCACTGCTTTGTTTTTGTTTTTTAAGGCCAGCATAATTATCTGTCTCTTGCATAAACATCAACCTTCTTAGCTCATGCAGCCTGCTATGGTGTCGCAGATCCCACAGGGTAGAATTTAATTCTCAGGGGTTGGTTTCCCCACTTTGCTGGACACAGAACTGGACACAGAAACGTGGGCTGTCACCAAACCAGGCCAAGCTTCTCTAGTCCTTTGAGCCCAGTTCCAGCGTCTGCTTCCTCTCCTGCGTCCTGCGACGCTGAGATCCGCAGACCCAGAGTGGTGAATCCACCCTGTGTCATACAATGAAATACAAAGCCTTAAATGGGGAAGGTTTAGGGTGTGGGAAGGAGGGAGTTGTCCAGCCCTAGGAGTGATGCAGATCAGTAAATAGGAATAAAAAACAAGGTACAGTGGTATCTCAGGTTACATACGCTTCAGGTTACAGACTCCGCTAACCCAGAAATAGTACCTCGGGTTAAGACCTTTGCTTCAGGATGAGAACAGAAATCGTGCTCTGGCGGCGCGGCAGCAGCGGGAGGCCCCATTAGCTAAAGTGGTGCTTCAGGTTAAGAATGGACCTCCGGAATGAATTAAGTACGTAACCAGAGGTACCACTGTATCTACAGAGCTTATTGGAGAGCAATAGAGAAAGAGAGAGAGAGAATAATGAACAACAGCTGGCATCTAGAGCGCATAGCTCCTAGAAGGGGATGTGCCGTAAATGTTGGTGAGCGGGTGCAAGAGGGAACAGTGCCCCCCAAGTGCTCTGACCAGAGAGGGCAAATCTGCAGCAGCTGTGAGCATGCTACCCACCTTGGCAGTTGTGGTGAAAACCTGTTATGTCTGCGGTTTTCAACCTTTTTTGGGTCCATGGCTCCCTTAACCAACAACAGTAGTACCTCGGGTTACATACGCTTCAGGTTACATACGCTTCAGGTTACAGACTCCACTAACCCAGAAATAGTACCTCGGGTTAAGAACTTTGCTTCAGGATAAGAACAGAAATCGTACAGCGGCGGTGTGGCAGCAGCAGGAGGCCCCATTAGCTAAAGTGATGCTTCAGGTTAAGAACGGACCTCTGGAACGAATTAAGTACTTAACTCGAGGTACCACTGTACATTCTTTCTGTGGCACCCCTGTGGGGCTCACCCCTTGCCTGCAGAGCTGGCAGCCCCTTGCCCTTTTTCGAACACCCTCCCTTGTGGAGTATTCCTTCACCCTCCTCTCCTCTCCCCTCTCTTGGGAGTCCTCTGGGCAGCTGCCGCCGCCACCCCTGGTCTCTGAACTGCCCCGCCTGCCTCAAAGAGCGGTGCCTCCTCACACTGCCCCACAGGGGCCAGGGAAGCACCCCACCCCCCGGCCAGCCCCAGAGGCACTATTCACCTGGGATGCTTGTAGCCAGGGCTGCGGCAACAAACAGCCATGCAGAGATGCGAGAGGGCATCAGAGGAGGGAGGGGGGAAGAAGAAGAAGAGTTTGGATTTGATATCCCGCTTTGTCACTACGCGAAGGAGTCTCAAAGCAGCTAACATTCTCCTTTCCCTTCCTCCCCCACAACAAACACTCTGTGAGGTGAGTGGGGCTGAGAGACTTCAGAGAAGTGTGACTAGCCCAAGGTCACCCAGCAGCTGTATGTGGAGGAGCGGAGACACGAACCCGGTTCACCAGATTACGAGCCTATCGCTCTTAACCACCACACAGAAGGACAGAGGCCATTGTTGCCAGCAGCACCCCTGACCGTCATTCACGGTACCCCAGGGTGCCACGGCACACTGGTTGAAAGCCACTGTGTTATGTGCCTTGGTTGTGCATGCTGCTGCAGGCTTTGATTCTGTCCGGAAGGAATGCTCGTGAATCTATGCAGTATTTAGGGTGGCACGCCTCCTTTTGCCAGTGTCTGAGCGCTTGCCTGCATGGGCGAGGGGGTGCTTCCCCTGTGATGCTGCCGCTCCCCGTGGCTGGATGTGATGGTTCGAACGTTTTGAGCAGCAGCTCAGGCGAGACGCAATATTCGTATATAGCAGAGGGGGTCTTGAAGAGACATCGTTGTGGCAGTCATGCGCCGCAGTGCTTGTGTCCCCATCCCTGGAGTTGTGGTTGTGCCAGCGTCACAGCTTGGTAGCACAGCATCTCCTTGGTCTTGGGTTCATTCCCCAGCTTCTCCGGGTATCGCTGGGAGAGGATTCCCTGTCTAAAGTTCTGGAGAGCTACAGTCAGTCAGGGTAGACGGTGACCCAAGCCCACCCAGAATTGGCTGCATCACAGGGGTTGGACTTACATGACCTTTCGCCCGCCTACAATTCTATGAGCTAACTGGAACAATGCTCTAACTTGTGTATATGTTCGAATATGGTGTTGGTTGGTTGTCTGCAGGCCTATGGGGATTAATGTTCTTAAGCAATAATAATAATAATAATAATAATAATAATAATAATAATCTATTATTTATACCCTGCTCATCTGGCTGGGCTTCCCTAGCCACTCTGGGCGGCTTCCAACAAAACACTAAAATACAATAACGTATTAAACATTAAAAGCTTCCCTAAACAGGGCTGCCTTCAGATGTCTTCTAAAAGTTTGGTAGTTATTTTTCTCTTCGACATCTGGTGGGAGGGCGTTCCACAGGGTGGGCGCCACTACCGAGAAGGCCCTCTGCCTGGTTCCCTGTAACTTGGCTTCTCGCAGCTAGGGAACCGCCAGAAGGCCCTTGGCGCTGGACCTCAGTGTGTGTGTGTGTGTATGTGTGTGTGTTTCATGCAAAAAGCCTTTTCCCCATAGTCCCCAGCCCGTCCTGGTAGCATTCACTCTTGTGAGTGTGCCGCACCCGAAGCCAGATTTCTGTAGCCCCATGCCCTGTCACCAAAATTATGGTCTTCGCATGGGTTCAAACACTGGTGGCAATGCATACAGATTTTTGATTTCCCTCTCCCAGCTGGGGAGATCAGGCAATTTTCGTACGCCGGTTCTGGGCTGGCAGAAAGCTGGTTTGTCCATGGTTCCCTGTAGCATAGGAGCCTCCGGAGGCGGCCTCCCCATCTTGTGCCACACTCGGGCAGCCCTGCCTCGTTTCAGCCACTCCCCTGGCATATCCCTGCTGCACTTGTGGCACTCTGCCCAAATCCAAATGGCACCTCAGGCAACAGAGCTCAGGTTATGTGCTTTGAAATGGAGCATGTTTGGGGCACGCATGTTGTGTGCGCAACTCGAGCACGCCAAAGGAGATGAGATCCGCTTGAACCCTTACGGCGTGCTGTTCCAAAATGGGGGGGTTTGCTTTGCCCCTCCGCCCTGCAAACTTGTGAAGGCCTGCTTCCTTTTCAACCCTTGAGAACATACATGAATCACTCCTAGATAAGGGCGATGCAAAAATCTGACCAGCCCTGATAACAGAAGAGAGGCTTCTGTGTTTGTGTATGTGTGTGTTGTGTGTTTCGGTCGGGCTGCAGTGTTTTGTTCGCCCCCATTTTTGTCTGGGCCGGAGACCAGCTTGCTGCCTGAGCTGGAGCCAGAGCTCCCAGAGATTTGTGCTTCTGTCATCCATCTGAAAGTGCCTTATGGGGTTTGCCCACATTCCTCGCTAGCCAGAACAACAGGCTTTGTTTCCAGAGTTCAAGCCTTCCTCTGTCTCTCACCTCCCACTCTCTGCCCAGACATGCTCTAGTGCCCTTATTTACTTAAGGTGCAATTTTCCCACACTTCCTTTGCAAAGTTCTCCAGCGATGTTGCTGTCCTTCCTGATACCCCAGCCTCAATTATATTCTTGGACTCAGAGAGAAACAAGATTATAACTCTTTTTCCATTAAGTTTGGGGCGGGGGGTCAGGGAATGAGTCACAGTCTCTTTAATGTTGCAAATGCGATCGTTTAAAAATAAGAATTTTCAAAACCGGCTAGATCTGAAACAAGAACGCATAGAAGAGTCTGACTCCCTCCCCACCCCTGCCCCAAATTTCATTTTGGAAGCCACTCGCAGCAGAAGACGACGGTCTGATTAAAAAAAATATGAAGCCCTGTATGTGAGCCAGGCTTCTCCGCATGAGAATGTGATTGTGTTATGTTGTTAACGCAGAAAGACTTAATAAATGCTTCGGGCTAAAATTAGTACTGCTTTGTTTGTTTTTTTGCTTTCTTTCTTAAATTGGCTGGCGTTTGCTTCTTTGGAACAGATCTGTCAAGATGGGCTGTGCCTAGCATTTAAAAGTAGAATTTCAGGGGTGGGTGGGAGTTTGGAGACCCTGTAAAGCAGTGGTGTCCAAATTATTTTCAAAGAGGGCAAGATATGATGAAGTGAACATGCGTGAGGGCTGGCCAAAGTTGATAAGCTTTTTTTAGGATTTTATCCCAAAGTTGCTGAGCTGTTTTTAGGATTTGGCCCCGGGCTGGACTTTGAACATGGCTGCTGTAAAGAAATGATTTCTCCTCCATCTCTGAGCAGGGTGTACTGCGAAGACTACTGACTCTCTGCTTGTCCACACTTCTGTTTAATGCTTGCAGAGTTCAGGCTGAGAAAAGAATCTATAATTTTTGCATCCTTTGTGACTTCCATATCAAAAGGGGGGGGTGGTCATTCCCCTTTGCTCTGTCTTGCCCGCAGAGATGACACTGCCAATTGGGCTTCCAATAGATATATTTTAATATTTCTCTTTTATTGAATATATCCAGAGGCTTTGAACTGCTTGCTCTCTCTCTCTCTCCCCTGTTCTGTAAAATTAATTAGGGGAGTGGCTTGCTGTCTGAGGTTTTTAGATGGAGAGTTAAAAGTCGCTGCAAGCAATTAGCCCTTGGAAAGATCCCTATCGCTTTTCCCATGACAAGGATTTGCTGGGCAGAGTTTTTGAAAACCGAAAGCCCAACTGGCTTGGATGGAAAGGTTTATTTTAATAAGTTAGGGCCAGCTTAGCAAGTAATTGCCGGTGATCACTTCTTCCCAGGTCCCAGTAATGAAGTGAACTTTGCAGTTAACCCACAATTTCATGCTTTCAACCTTTCTTGTCTATTCCCCCATCCCCACCCTCCCCTTCATATTCTCCGCTTCAAATAAAAATGGCAGTGTCTCAGTGTGGAATGTATTTAAACTGGAGATTTTCCTTAATGCCCTGTGTTTGCATTCGAGAAGGGGAGCTTTTCGGATAACAGATTACATCTCTTGCTTTGTTACACCAGCCTGGCTTCTTGAGCTTAAAGTAATACGTTCAGAACATAAACACAGGCACTTGAGCCAAACTTTGGATGAAAATTGCTTTGGATCTGGGTTCGCTAGGTTGAAATTATCTGGTGGAGAAAAAAATGTCAGATGAATATAAATATTCTTTAAGCACATAACTGATTTATTATGTATGCAGCTATATGTTATCAAAGTGGAAACATCAGTGGACTTTTAACTATCTTCTGACTGCTGCCAGATTAATATCTCTCTTGAAAGAAGATGCTTCCTGTCTTCCTAATTCGAACATGTGATTCTCCCCCCCCCCAAAAAAAAACAACCCCAAGCAAACTGAGTTGCGGTCCAAGAGGAAATTCTCTAGTAACTTTGCTGTTCTATATTGGTTGGCTTGTTTTTCTTTCTGCTCAAGTATCCTTAAGCCCTTATATTCATGAGAATCCTTGGGAGAATCCTCATTCTTCCTCTCTCCTCTCCTCCCCACCCCTGTTTTTATTAATTCATTTGTCAAACCCCAGGGATTGATCTATAGTGTGTCTGCACCCATTCTCCCTTCCCTCCCATTTGTGTGAGTTTCAGAACAGTATTGTCTTCCGTGGCACCACACTGGGGCTCCCAGAACAGTTATTCTTTTCTGAGAATAGGCTGTGTCTTGAGAGACCTTGGAGGGGGAAAAAAAACTTGGTTTGTTTACAAGAAACCACCAAATACTCCTTTTTTTTCCTTTTTTTTTTTTGAGCAGGGAGTGGGGGAGACTTCTCTTTAAATCTTAAAATATAAATAAGGATTTGTACATGGGTTCTACTAGGTCAGAGATGGAAGTCCCTACCAGAGAGGAATGGCAAATTAAACTGTTGGACTATGCCAAAATAACAAAACTGACCGGAAAGCTCAGGAACCAAGAAGACCAAAACTTTTAGCAAAGGATGGGGAAAAAATTATAATTTATCTTGGAGACCACTGTAAGCAGATGAAAACATTGGCAGGGTTGCAATAGCGCTTGCAATGTAGCAAGTACTATGGAGACAATGGAGTTTGTTGGAAAAGATGCAGTAGAAATAGTTTAAAAATAGGAACCATGGAAGGGCGGTGACAAGTCCAGAGATTTGGAGGAATCTGTAACTGTGGGTGTGTATGGTTGTATTGTTGTAATTTTATACTTGTAAAATCAAGTACAGTGGTACCTTGGGTTACATACGCTTCAGGTTACATACGCTTCAGGTTACAGACTCCGCTAACCCAGAAATAGTGCTTCAGGTTAAGAACTTTGCTTCAGGATAAGAACAGAAATCATGCTCCGGCGGCGCGGCGGCAGCAAGAGGCCCCATTAGCTAAAGTGGTGCTTCAGGTTAAGAACAGTTTCAGGTTAAGAACGGACCTCCGGAACAAATTAAATACTTAACCTGAAGTACCACTGTAATTCCCCCCAAATAAATAAATGAATAAATAAGGATTTGTAGGCCTGTTTCTTTCTTTTCGAGCGACTAATTCCCCTCTCCCTTTCTTTCTTTGAAGGTGTCAGTACGGTTGGCAAGGTCAGTACTGTGACAAGTGCATTCCTCACCCGGGCTGTGTCCATGGAACTTGCAACGAACCGTGGCAATGCCTCTGCGAAACCAACTGGGGTGGCCAGTTCTGCAATAAAGGTATACTCTCAAGGTGGCTTTGAAATGCTAGTTAAACACGATGGAGGTTGGGGGAGGCAGCGAAGGGGGGGAGCTGCGGGTCAAGGATGCACCGCCGGGGGGTGGACACCCTCTCCTTTTGTAACGCTGGCCTCTGGCTCGGTTGTGGGGTGGCGGTCGAAGCGCTCCGCAAACCCCCACCCGGAAGACAGCTCCTTTCTCATTTTTCCGGACGGTCCCTTGCAGATCTCAACTATTGCGGAACTCACCCGCCTTGCTTGAACGGGGGAACGTGCAGCAACACCGGACCGGACAAGTACCAGTGCTCCTGCCCAGAGGGTTACTCGGGACAGAACTGTGAAATCGGTAAGGATCTCTGCAATTGGTTGGTTTGGCTGCTTTTGGGGGCTGCGAGCCCTGGGCTGTGCTGGAGAGATGGTCAGGAGAGAGCGAAAATCGGGAAGCGAGCAGTAGCGAGGACATCCTTGGGACTGAATTGTTGTATCTGGCCAAGTGCGTTTTGGAGAGAGGGAGAATAGGTTGGAGTTACAGCTAGCACACATAGTTCTGCCGCTGAGCTATGGTCCTCCCCGAGTTCAGGTCTTCGGATATGTCTTTGGTTCTGCCAACAATATCTGGCATGTACGAGTTTACTTTGCTCGAGAAAGCTTTGCATTGTGACTTGTGGGCATCCCCAAAGTGTCCTGCCTCGGGTATGTTTTATCTCTGTTTGGTAGGGGATAATACAGTCGCCCATAGGGACACGGGTGGCACTGTGGGTTAAACCACAGAACCTAGGACTTGCCGATCAGAAGGTCGGTGGTTCGAATCCCCGCGATTGGGTGAGCTCCTGTTGCTCAGTCCCTGCTCCTGCCAACCTAGCAGTTCGAAAGCACACCAGTGCAAGTAAATAAATAGATAACGCTCCGGCGGGAAGGTAAACGGCGTTTCCGTGCGCTGCTCTGGTTCACCAGAAGTGGCTTAGTCATGCTGGCCACATGACCCTGAAGCTGTACGCCGGCTCCCTCAGCCAATAAAGCGAGATGAGCGCTGTAACCCCAGAGTCGGTCATAACTGGACCTAATGTTCAAGGGTCCCTTTACCTTTACCTTTACCTTTACCTTTAATACAGTCGCCATGAGATGAGGCAACTCTGCCTTAAGCAAGTATGAGCTACTTGCTTGGAAAGGGAGACAGCGGCTTGCAGATGGCTCAGCCCTCAAATAGATGCTTTTCCCATCTAAACCTAGCCGCTGTCGGGAGTTTTGGGCACTGTGTTCCCCACCAGCTCAGAGCCCAAGAGATGGAGGGGACAGGGAAAGTAGGACAGGTGATTTTTAAAAAATGAGGTTGTCCGTGTCACCGGCATTGGCCAAGCTGAAGAGGATTCTGTTCTTGCTGCAGCGGAACATGCCTGCCTTTCGGATCCTTGCCACAACGGAGGAAGCTGCCTCGAAACCTCGACGGGATTTGAGTGTGTCTGTGCTCCAGGCTGGGGGGCTCCAACCTGCACACTCAGTAAGTGGACAAGAATTTCCCAGCTTAGCAGAAGCTTCGAACCTTGCCGAACCCAAACCGCTGTGCTGGCTTTTCTCAGTGGTTTCTAATGGTCCGATGAAATTCTGCCTGGGCTTGTAATACAGTGCAGCTTTCTGCTCTCTCCTTGAAATTTGCATGCTGGGCCTTCAGATCTTTGACAATCCCAGTTTGCTACCCCAAATGTCTTACCCCTCGAATCTGGAAGTCTGAATGGTCCTCTGTGAACGTCCACAAATGGATATTTTACGAGGATAGCCTTGCCGGGCTAGTCGTCTTTCTTTGAGGGCAAGGGCAAAAATGGCTTCGCTGGAATCTTTTCTCGAAAGCAGCGTTTCCCAAACTTGGGTCTCCAGCTGTTTTTGCACTTCAACTCCCATCATCCCTAGCTAGCGGGACCAGTGGTCAGGGATGATGGGCATTGTAGTCCCAAAACAACAGAAGACCCAAGTTTGGGAAATACTGCTTTAAAGGCTGCTCAGTTGTGAAAGTGCTGTCTGTCTGCGCATGAACGTATTTCAGATGATCAAAATGTGTAAGCATTGCCGGAGCTGCAACTGCAGGGTGGGTGGGGGAGGAGAATGAAAAGTGGGAGCCATGGTTTCATATTGGATAGGGCCAGGGAAACTTTTCCCCCTGCCCAGGTACTGCAGGCCCTTGTGGGTAATCTCCTCAGAGTTGGAACATCAGAGGTGGCTTGCTCTTCTGCATTCTCTACAGCGTTGGTCTCACTTTTCTGAATATAGCAATGGCTTTTGGCCTGTGCCTAGTGTGGCTTGCCAGTCTGGCTGCTCTTGATGATGCTGAGATGCGTATACTAAAGCGAAATCTCTCTCTGTAGATATCGACGACTGCTCTCCAAACCCCTGCGGCCATGGAGGGACCTGCCAGGATCTGGTCGATGGGTTTAAATGTATTTGCCCACCTCAGTGGACTGGCAAAACGTGTCAGATTGGTAAGCATTGGGCCATAGATTTATGGAAGGGGAAATAAGGAATTGGAGAACTCGCTCCAGATTTAGGGACATCTGTCGCTGCGTGCTTCGTGTTGAGGAACGTTTGTGTCAGAATTGAATGGGGTAACATGGGGCTTGTGAGTGTTGGGGGTCGTCTTTCCCTTTGAAGAAGTTGGCCTAGTGGAAGTTCGTAAGAATCGTCGAGACTGAAGGGACCCTGTGGATAGTACAACCCCTTGCAATGCAGGAATATGCAGTTGTCTCTGATGGGGCTCGAACCTGCGGCCTTTACATTATTCAGGCTCAGCCCGTGCTTTTGAAGCCACTGGGGACGCTTCCGCCGGGAGTGGAATACCTGGGATCTTTTAAAGAATGACAGAGATGTTTCAAATGTGTGATCTTGAGCATATGAGGCATGGGAGTCTCTGGGCTTCTTCTTGCCTTTCTGTGTCTAAATCACAGCAATCTTCTCTATTGCTCTTAATAGTAACCGTGATTTTATTGTTTCTACCCTGCCCATCTGACTGGGTTGTCCCAGCCATTCTGGGCGGCTCTTGTATGGGGACAACGGGCAAATGTTTCTGTGTGACATCTGTAGAGCCACCCACAATTTTCTTTCCCTCATCCCGATAGTCCCCAAAGCAGCATTCGTGCGGAGAACCCAGTTCATGAACCTGGTCTTTCCGTGACTGCAGTTTCCTCCCGTAAGCAGTTTTGGTGACTATGATGGCCTGGCCCCATGGCTTTACTTCTCTATTCCCCCCAAAAGCTGCTATAACAGGAGACACTGGCTGTATGTCAGTGGCGTGGCTGCGTAGCATAACACAACAAGATTGTGTTTGTTGAGAGCTGGATGCATGTGCAAAGAAACTTGTGAAGAACCTTAGCCGAATCTTGTACAGACCTTCTGATCGAGGACCATGTCCTCAGCTACCGGCCATCAACTTTTAGACTGCAGAGTCATTTCTGCAGCAATCCTTTGCCACTCATTCGAGCCTCTGTTATTTAATTTGGAAATGTCACACGTCTGGTGAAAGGGACCGCGATCCACAAAGGCTTACGCCACAACTTTAGGTCACAGCTCAGGTTTAAGTTGCTCTCAAACTGCAGTCGTACCTTGGAAGTTGAACGGAATCCATTTTGGAAGTTTGTTCAACTTCCAAAACCTTCGGAAGCCAAAGTGCGGCTTCTGATTGGCTGCAGGAAGCTCCTGCAGCCAATCGGAAGCCCCATCCGACGTTTGGGTTCTAAAGAACGTTTGCAAACCGGAACACTCACTTTGACGTTTGACCCGCAAAGCATTTGGGATCGAAGGTACTACTGTACTTCCATGCCTTCCCCAGCCAGAAGTATCCTGGGAGCTGTAGTTTAAGGGTGCTGGGAATTGTAGCTCTCCTCTCAACTCTCGGCACCCTTAGCAAACTGCTGTTCTCAGGATTCTTTGGGGAGCAGGGGGGAAGCCCTGACTCTTGGTGTAAGAGTGCTTTGAACGTAGGGTGTGGATCTGAAATAAGTAGTTTTAAGATTCCACAAGGATCTTTGCTGCAGCAGAGCTTATCCGCCTGGAGACTTATCTTTGCAGGATCTGCAGTGATGAGTGTTCCTATGACTCCTGCTGACATTTCTTCTTCTTAAGACAGGGTGTCCTTTTGCTGCCTCTCCCACCTCTCTCCCCCCCCCACCTCCCTGTCAGCCTGGTGGGAAAGCGATTCTCCTCCCTCTGTTCACATTAACTCCTTCAGAATTTGCAGCTGCATTCCGAGCTGTGGATGATCTCATGAAGAATGAGCTGTCTGCATTCTTCATCCAACAGTATTAATCCCAATGACTGGGGATGATGCTCTGTCATTTTGAAACTCTCCAACTCCCTTGCCTCCCTTTCTTTCTTTCTCCCACCCTCTTTTTCCCCCCTTTGTATTTTTTTTTTAATTAAAAAAAGTTGCTCTTAATTAAGGCCAAGGACTCCGTGATTGCCAACGCACCATAGTTGGGGAAATAAAATCTGAAAGTCCCCCAGTACTTTTGCCTTTCCTCCGTCTTTTTTTAAAGTCTTGCTAATCCACTCCTGCGAGCTTAAAAACAAAAAGGAACTGTTTTGTCTTCCAACGAACTGCGTTTGCTGTGAAAACGAGAGAGCGTGGTCTGTGTCTCTCCCTTTGACAGCACCCCCTCCTCTCTTCTCTTTTCAGATGCCAACGAATGCGAGGGCAAACCTTGTCTGAATGCCAATTCCTGCAGGAACTTGATTGGCAACTACTATTGCAACTGTGTCCCTGGATGGACTGGCCAGAATTGTGATATAAGTAGGCATCTTTTCCTCTGTATCCCCGATACTGCTGCTTTTTTTGCTTGGGTTTCTGCGGGCAAGAGGTGACCTGTGTTCTGAGTTTTGAGGCTCAGCTTTTGGCAATAGCCAGCAAAGGGTGGTGGTCAGCAGCCGATTTTTTTAGAAAGGGAGTAGTTCGTCTGGCATGAATAAGAGGCCCTTTTTTCAAACCCATTAGTCCACGACACCGGCTATATGCCGATAAGGGGGCTTGAAACAATGATGTGAAGTTTTCCACTTAACTCCACTGTAAGAATGGCTCGGGGTTCCCACCCATTATCCTGGCCTTATCCGGAGGAAAACATGCAGGAAGCTGGACAAAGGGATTTATCTAGCCTAGAGTTTCGAAGCCCGTTTGAATTCTTTCTCGTGCCTTTCCTATGCGCGCTGCCTTTCTAAAGGCTCACCTACTCCCATATGTGATTGATGCTATTTTCTGACTTGCAGATATTGACGACTGCATTGGACAATGTCAGAATGGAGGCACTTGCAGGGTAAGTTGCAGATTAGTTGTGGAGAGCAATGGCTGCGAATCGCAGCGACGAGAACGCTGTCGGACTTGCCTCTTGCTTGCAGGCTTCCCATGGGCACCCACGGGTGGCCACTGCAAGAACAGGGTGCTGGGTGGGCCAGTAGCCTGAATCAACAAGGCTCGTCTTAATGTAGTTAAACGGGAAGGGACCAAGTTTTAAGTCTTCCATTCACTTATTATGCAGGAGCATATTGATCTCATCAGGACTTGACTCTCGGTAGAAATGTATATGATTTGATCCAAGAAATGGATTGGGTTTCAATGTACGTTTTCAACAGAAATCAGTACTGCAGAATAGGGATCAGCCATATTCTATCGGTCTTGCATCTGATCCATGTTGCTTTTGAATGCGTTTGCCCAGAAACCCACCCCATTCCGTCTTCTGTGTTTAATCTGCTGGTCTGCGCGCTTGAAAATCCTGGTTGAAAGTTCGCCTTTAAAATACACATTTCGAAATGAACAGGTTTTTTCCCCCCCTCTGTCGGAATGCACATTTTAAAAATGGTTTCTGAGCTGAGAACTACAGCAAAGAACTGTGACGTGTAAAAAATGACAGTTGAGATTGGGAGTTGCGGATTGGGTCGGTCTGAATCATGGATGTAGACAGGATTGGGGGGGGGCAGAACCTCAGCTGTGTATTTTATTGATTTGTATTGATTTAGGCGGGGGCAGCCCCCTCCCCCCAGCTACGCCCATGGTCTGCATTGAAATGCATAGATGATCGGATTTCTTGAGCACTCCTATAGCAGAGAACCAATTCTAATATCGTGGCACTGATTCCATCCTGAATAAGCTTCTGGGACTTGAGAGCAAGAAGACAAGGAGGTTTCACAATCTGATCCCTTGAAGGTTTTAAAACAAATATGAGTGTGTACTTGAGACTCAACAGGGACAGTGTAGGCTCTCCAAAGGCTTACCGGGGGTGTGGCCTTCCTCGCAGTGTCATAGGATGATCTCTTAAATTATTTTACACAATGCAAAGTGAAAATAGGACTATATCAATTGATATTGTCAAATCATTGTTTTCCCCCCATTTGGAATACTGTGAATTACTATCTTCCGTTATTAATTTGCATCCCGCTTACCTGCCAGAATGGCTTTATTTTCTTCCATCTTTCCTCGGGGGGGGGGGGCATACTCCCCTCCCCTTTTTATTCTCCCAACAATTTTGTGAGGTAGGCTAGGCTGAGAGGAAAGCGACTTTCTCATGGCTATCCACTGAGCCTCGTGGAAGGTCAAAGTAGGTGTAATAGGAATAGCCGTGTTTATTGCTCACACGCAAAGTGTGTGTTGGGGTGTGTGTGTGTCTTGTTTTTAACACTGAGAGATGCACCAAGTTAGGGGACTAAAACTACCCCAGCTTTTTACCAAGATGAGATTGTTTGATCTCCTTTTTCCCCCTAGCACCACTGAAAATCACATGAAATGGCCAGGGAGAAAAATGGGTAGAAGCCAGAGAGTATTAGGAGAATAAACCTGGGGCAGGTGGTACATCTCCCCTTGCCCTTTCGCTGTAAAAATCAGTTGTGTCGTCCCCCTTGCTTTATGTCTGAATGGGGCCGCTAACCTGGACCAATGTGCTTTGACCTGTCTAATTCTGGGCTCAGTTCTGCAACCAGTTCTCTCAAAAAAGACCCATTTTTTGTGTGTGTATCCATTGAATGCTTCTGATGGGCCAAGCGAATTTTTTTGCTATTTTTTCTTTTTTTATAAATACTTTTATTGAGTTTTACATAAGCAATTTGAATTGAAACATCATCGTTTAGGATGAATCCTTTGATTTCCCTCTGCCCCTTCCATGGTTATCAACCTTTTTTCAACTGCCTCCCTTATTTTCTCTATTTTTTTTAAAAAAACCAATGACCCATTTTTACCATAGTTCTTTGTATATTACAAGCATTACTCTAATCCTGCCAAAGTTTTTAGTTGTTTACAGTGCTCTCTTAAGTACATTGTAAATTTTCCCCATTCCTCCTTAAAGTTCTTCTCTTCCTGGTTTCTGGTTTTCCTGGTCAGTTTTGCCATCTCAGCCTAGTCCATCATCTTCATCAGCCATTCGTCGCTGTTCAGAACTTTATCGTCTTTCCATCCCTGGGCCAGTGGTATTTGTGCTGCTGTCGTCGCGTACATAAATAGTCGTTTCTGCTCCTTCAGAATCTTGCGGACTGTTTTTCTTTATTTTCTTCCTCTCTGTGCCCTTTTTCAGGACTTGGTTAATGGTTATCGATGCTCCTGCCCACTTGGCTACGCAGGGGATCACTGTGAGAGAGACATCGATGAATGTGCAAGCAACCCTTGTTTGAATGGGGGCCACTGCCAAGATGAAATCAATGGATTCCAGTGTCTCTGCCCTGCCGGATTCTCTGGAAATGTCTGTCAGGTGAGGGCTGCTGAAACGCAAGCTCCAGATAAGAGCCCCAAAGCTTCGACCGCTGTCCTGAATACCTGTATTCACCAAGTAGCGCTATGGACCCCTCTCCCTCTCTTTTTTTTAATAGCTGTGGGGCAAAGAAACCCAGGGCTCCGTAAAGTACACTGAAAATTTGCAGTGCATGTTTTCCAAGTTATTACAAATCAGCCCAAATTATTTAAATTTAATACAATTTCCTAAAACAATCAGGTTTCCCACTCCTGTTGCAAACATATGTCCATTACTTCCTCACGTACCGCTTCCTTCCTCTTTAATCTCCTCTTAATCCTTCGCTTGATCTTAGTCTATTCTCACAGTTGACATTTATAGTTTCCTTACATACAGCACCTCTGTTGTTTTTCATGAATATAAAATCCATTTCACATGTGTACTCCTTCATAAACTTTCTCAGAACTGGTGCGTTGAGAAAGTTAACTGCCATTAAAAATTGCAGTAACTCTTGCATGCTAGACCTTTGCCCCCTCCTTGATAAACTTTTCGTTTGAGTGCAGTTGGCAAGTGTTGTTTTGTATGCTGTACACAAGCGATCGGGGGCGACGGAATCATAATAATAATAATAAAAAGGTCAGATTCCGTAGCCGCTTCCTGCTTGTGGCAGTGTGAAGGATAATGATAATGAGCCCTTTGTCTTAAGGCGACCTCTTTTTTCCCTGCCTCCCCTTTTCCTCCTAGTTGGACATAGATTATTGCGAGCCCAACCCTTGCCAGAACGGGGCGCAGTGCTTTAATTACGAAAACGACTACTTCTGCAGCAACTGCCCCGAAGACTATGAGGGAAAGAACTGCTCGCACCTCAAGGATCACTGCCGCTCGACTCCTTGCGAAGGTAGGCGTTGCATCTGGCCGGTCCGCTACGTTGCGGCCTGCTATTTTTCCGGGGAGGTTGGCGGAATGTGATGCTTTGCTTTCTAAAGGTCTTGAGTTCAATTCCTGACGCTTTCCGCCAGGACTGGGAAAACGCCTTTTTTTTGACATCCTGGAGAGAACTGGCATCTACTGGGCAAATGGTCCGATATGGCAGAGGTGAGGAACCTTTGCCCCTTGGGTGTTTCCGCACTACAAATCCCACCAGCCAGTTTTCAAGGATGATGGGAGTTGTTGTCTAGCGACACCTGGAAGGCCAAGGGTCCCACTATAAGGCAAGGGTGTGGGGAACCTCAGGTGGGCGGCCCTCTTGTAAGGATTTCACCTGGCTTGACTCTGTCCTTGATCTGTGATCGTACCCTGCATGGTGGGTGCCCACCTGCAGCCACCAAGAAGTGTGGTTGGCACTGTGGTCTAAACCACTGAGCCTCTTGGGCTGTTGCCTATCAGAAGGTCGGCGGTTCGAATCCCCGTGACGGAGTGAGCTCCCGTTGCTCTGTCCCAGCTCCTGCCAGCCTAGCAGTTCAAAAGCACACCAGTGCAAGTAGATAAATAGGTACCACTGCGACAGGAAGGTGCTCTGGTTTCCATCACGGTGTTCTGTGGACAGACGCTGGCTCTCTTGCCCTGAAAGCAAGATGAGTGCCACAACCCCATAGTCTCCATTGACCGGACTTAACTGTCCAGGGGTCCGTTACCTTTTCTTTCCTGCAGCCACCTTTGGGTATGTGGCCCCTGAAACACTGTCCACAAGGGATGGTGGCTTCAAAGACCATTTTCCAACTCTGTTTTTGGGCATCTTTTTTTAACTACCATATTCCTAGCTCTGTCGTACAGAAGGCAAAAACAGCGGAGTGTTGGCTTTCGGGGGTGGGGTGGGGGTGGCAGGGAGTAATTCTGCAGCTCTATATGTTGCCCTTGTTAGGCCACGGCTTATATGCGTGGCTCAGAATGGGACTTTCACGTGTAGCTCAGCTGTGTCATCATAGTGTATTGTGGTTCCTTGGTACGAGTCGCTGTGGCCCTGAGGCTTTTGGGTACAGTAGTACCTCGGGTTAAAACTTAATTCGTTCTGGAGGTCCGTTCTTAACCTGAAACTGTTCTTAACCTGAGTACCACTTTAGCTAATGGGGCCACCCGCTGCCGCCGCGCAATTTCTGTTCTCATCCTGAAGCAAAGTTCTTAACCCGAGGTCCTATTTCTGGGTTAGCAGAGTCTGTTACCTGAAGCATCTGTAACCCGAGGTACCACTGTACTTGAAAAAGGCTTGCATTAGACCTCAGGTGGCTAACCTCAGCCCCCTGCCCCATCCATTTTTCCTAGACCTTTCAAGACCCTCACAAATTTTGACAGCTCAGATGGGGGCGGGGAAGTAAACACAGCTTGGGGGGGGGGTAGATGGGGAAGTTTAAACCTCCCTGCCTAGCCCACGGGACAAGACAACTACGACCCCCCACCCGAATCATCATATTAATAATTTGAGTTGGGAGGAGGCAGGAGCTGATCTCCGTGGCTTAGCTGAGAGGCACGGTTGCATATCAGGGTGTCCTATACTTGCACATGGGAGTGGGGTGCCCCCGCCGCTGGAATGTGGCTCCCGTTGGCGAAGAAATCTGGCCCCCGCTGTTTTATAGGGCCTGCTTGTTTTAAGAGAAAGCACAAAGCCCTTGACCCACAGGAGGCCGGGGACGGTGTGGGTCTTTCGAGAGCTCATGTTGGGTCCGTGTCTCCTTCCCCCTGCAGTCATTGACAGCTGCACGGTTGCCGTGGCGTCCAACAGCACCCCGGAAGGCGTCCGCTACATCTCTTCCAATGTCTGCGGTCCCCACGGGAAGTGCAAGAGCCAGGCGGGAGGCAAATTCACATGCGAATGCAGCAAAGGCTTCACTGGCACCTACTGCCACGAAAGTAAGTTTTTCCTTGCCCTGCTTTTGTGGTGAACCCGGCTCTCCCTTTCTCCACAGCCACCTGTGTAAATGCCTTGCACGCCGCAGCTTGTTTGGCCTTGGGAGCCAGGGGTTGGCTGCAGTCACCAAGGACACTTTTGGACTTTTGCTCCAAGTTCGTTCCTTCCTCCTTGGTGGGCCAGTTGATGCTAATATTCCCTTGGCCTCAAGGAAACTCGTTTTAAGAGGCTCCTAGCCTTGAACGTAAGGGACGCGGGTGGCGCTGTGGGTTAAACCACAGAGCCTAAGACTTGCAGATCAGAAGGTCGGCGGTTCGAATCCCCGCGACGGGGTGAGCTCCTGTTGCTCGGTCCCTGCTCCTGCCAACCTAGCTGTTCGAAAGCATGTCAAAGTGCAAGTAGATAAATAGGTACCGCTCCGGCGGGAAGGTAAACGGCGTTTCTGTGCGCTGCTCTGGTTCGCCAGAAGCAGCTTAGTCATGCTGGCCACATGACCCGGAAGCTGTTTGCGGACAAACGCCGGCTCCCTAGACCAAGAAAGCGAGATGAGCGCTGCAACACTAGAGTCGGTCACCACTGGACCTAATGGTCAGGGGTCCCTTTACCTTTAGCCTTGAACGTGCACCTTGGGTTTATGTTTTTTTTAAAAAAAATAAATGCCAACTTTATAAACATACAAAAGGCCTCCAGCAGTAGATGGCAAATTTTACGCTGGGGGGGTTTATGAGCCGTCTTAAAGGAATGTTTTCAAACCTTTTAAGGTATGGAGAGTTGGCTTGCTTTTTTTAGGAGCCTTCTCCTTTCGCTTGTCTTTTCTTCTTCTTCTTTTTTGGCACTGGGTTGCAGTTTGGGTCCAGACGGAGCAAGCTCTGGGTTCAATGGTTAACCCACCTCCTTCATCCAGCCCCAGTTTTCTAAACTTCCTTTTTTGTGCTTCATCTCTTTTAATTTTGTTGCAGACATCAACGATTGCGAGAGCAACCCGTGTAAGAATGGCGGCACGTGTATTGACGGCATCAATTCCTACAAATGCATTTGTAGCGATGGATGGGAAGGCACCTTTTGCGAAGCCAGTAAGCGGATCTTTGTTTCTCTAGTGGAAGGGAGGTGGTTGAGGGATGGAGACTCTGCCGTTCTTCGTGTTGACACTTTTCACATCCTCTGTCTGGACTGCAGTCCTGAAAAGATCTTCTTAAGGAGCAGTTGGTGTTTTTTGTTCTTAAAAGAAAGACGCTACTCTTTTATTTATTTATTTATTTATTCATTCATTCATTCATTTATTCATTCCATTTTGATACTGCTTTATATTTTTAAGAAAAAAATCTCAAAAGTCGTTTACAACATAGTAAAACTTCAGATAAAACAATTCAGAACAAAACATTGCTAATTTTTATTCGTTTTCAATTACAATAATCCAATAATAGCCTCAGTATAACAATGCCAAATTACAACACAATTCCCAATATTAATCATTCGAATACCAAAGTTCATAATTTAGGTGGTCCCCACATGCTAGAATTGATGGTTTGATTATTTCCTTTATTCTTGCGCTCCAAAGTCTTACTGATTTCAGTTACATTCCAGTCACAATAATAATCCCTTATACAGCAGCTGCAATATTTATAACTTCCATTTGTATTGACACATTTAATGATTTATAAGTCCACAATGATTTATAAGTCTACTTCACTTGAATAATAAAACATTGCTGAAGAAAGTCAAATATCAAGCATACACTCAAAGCAACCTACTTAACAGGAAACTAAAATATTATCTCAAAAGATTTAAAAATGAAACATTACAAAGGAGGTTAACTGCAGAATGCGCGTTCAATACAGCAAAGTGAATCGAGAAAACCTTGAGCATTGAAAGCATTGCTAATTATAAAATGCACATTTAAAACAGCATAATTAGCAAGAGAATTAAATGTTATCATGAGCAAAGAACATATCTGCTGCTGTTGCTGCCAGTCCTGCCAATGGTGGTTCATGGCATCTGGCTTCTGTGGAAGCTCAGACTCAGTGACCTGGGTCTGCACTAAGAGACAGCCAAGATGGTCTCTGGCCTCCTTAGCGGCCTCAGCTTTTGTAGCTGGAGTCAATCAGAGTGCTGCCCTCCCAGGCTAGGTGGAAAGAGGCCTGCCAGGCAGGGAGCAGGTCTTCTAGAACTCACAGCCAAGATGGCACCCTCTCCATCTCTGCCTGGATTTTGGTTCTTGATTTGGGCCAGCAGACAGACAGCTTGCTGGGTTTCTGCTACATATGCAGCACCATAAGCTACAGAAGAGTTGGATTCCTCTTGGGCTTGCCACTCGGAAGGTTGGCAGTTCGAATCCCTGTGACGGAGTGAGCTCTCGTTGCTCTGTCCCAGCTCCTGCTACAACCTAGCAGTTCAAAGGCACGCCAGTGCAAGTAGATAAATAGGTACGGCTGCAGCAGGAAGGTAAACGGTGTTTCCGTGCGCTCTGGTTTCCGTCACAGTGTTTGGTTGCGCCAGAAGTGGTTTACTCATGCTAGCCGGAAAGCTGTTTGTGGACAAACGCCGGTTCCCTCGGCCCAAAAGTGAGATGAGTGCCGCAACCCTATAGTTGTGTTTGACTGGACTTAACCATCCAGGGGTCCTTTACATTTTAACCTTACCTGTATTCCAGTGGTGATGCACAAACACATCTTAGAATTGGCAAACCACACTTTTTCTTTAGTAAAAATCAAAACAGCTGCTGTTCTGATCTAAATTGCTCCCCAAGCGGAAGAAAGTTTCTATATGTCGGATTCCTTTTTCGACTTGACTAAATGTTTTGTGGGTTGCCAATCTGCTTGTGTGTAACGTGCTCGGCACAAGATGCTTTCCTTGCCACGGTTCATGGAACCGTTCGATCTACTTAAATGATCTGGCTGGCTCCTTTGACTCTGGAGTTAAGTGACTCTGGAGTTGCTTAAACTATATTTTTGCCTTGTTATAAACCGGAGAAGTTTTGAAGAGATAAAAAAGATGTACGTTTAGGGATGATACATGTGATGAAATCCTGGCTGCCAGTAATTTGAGTTCAGAAGGGAATGGGTCACTTAAACTAGAGTGATCTTTTTGCCAGCCCAAGTACTGCTGAATAAAGGGCTTGAATGTTTTATATCCATGTATTTTCCTCTATAAAGACAGAACATCTCATTGCTCCTGTCTTGGCATCGTAGAACAGCCTCCCCCAACTTTGTGCCTTCGAGATGTTGGGACTCCAATTCCCATCAGCCCCAGCCAGCATGGGCAGTGCTTGAGGACGATGGGTGTTGTAGTCCAACAATTTGAGTCCAAACATCCCCCCAGCCCTGGTTTATGAGGCTTCTGTCGGTAGAAACCTTTACTGTAAGGCTTTCTCTTGCTGTTATTTAGTTTTGAGATGATGACTAGCTTTTAATCCACACACAGTTTCCCATCTCTGAAATACCTCCCTTTTCCTCTCCGCTGCTTCGAGAAGGCAGAGGAGGGGCTGAACTGCTAGCCTTTGGCCTTGACACAGAATCATTATGTAATAAGGCCTCATTTGCTTTCAGCTTAACTGTTATATTTGTTTCGAGGGAGCCAGAGTGGTGTGTGTTGGCAAGGGAAGTTGAAAGTGAGCGGTGGGGTATGGTGCAGAATAAACATGATAACGTCAGCGGTGGCATTAAGGCGCTTAATCCAGACTTTGGGATGGGAGGGCAAAAGGAGGGCTGTGACATGCCTGAGGATAAAAGCAAGCTCTTTTGCCACAACGCTTCTTTCCCCCTCCTTAAACTCCCTCCTCTTCCTTCCAGATATCAACGACTGCAGCAAAAACCCCTGCCACAATGGAGGAACATGCAGAGACTTGGTGAACGATTTCTTCTGCGAGTGCAAAAATGGCTGGAAAGGGAAAACCTGCCACTCGCGTGAGTGTTTTTTGGGAGATATCCCAGATCGGTGCCACCACTAAAGTTCGGCGGTGCCTAGTTTGGCCTATGAATGGGGCCGGCTTATTATAATAGCCTCATTGGCCGATCGTCACCGTGTGCCGTAAACTGGCACACGGTGAAAAGGCAGCCTCTCCACTCGCACCCGTGTCTCACTCCTCCCCTAATGGGAACAACAAACCACAACGCTTGGCTTACCTTGATGTCGGAACCTGAGATTGTGGTTTTGTTTTTTCCCCCCTTCCCCATAAACAAATTGCGATCAGCAAGCCAAGATGTGTACTTGGCTCGGTGATCGTGCTTCGTTGGGGAGAAGCAAACCACAATCTTGGGTTTGGGACATCGCGAGGAGCCAAGCTTTGTGGTTTGTTTCCTTGCGCCGGGCAGGGGAGCGAAGCCGGAGTCATTGTTTACAGCAAGCCGTGGTTCGTGGCTGACTGCGTTGTGCAACGAAGTGTCGTTTTTCCCATCCCCCAAAGTACATTGAGGTTGTTGTTTTTTAAAGGATCAGATCAGGAGTTTGAAACTAGATGCGTTATAGGCACACATGCCAAAGTTCTTCCTTAAGATTAATCTCTTTATTTCCCGGGTGCCAAACCATGGACAGATAAACTGGGGGAATGTCAAAGCTCAAGGTCTCTGTGCCTCCTGTCAATCAAACGGCCATTCCCAAGAACCAATTCTTGAATGCACATACGTGTAGTGCGGTTGGTGTTCACGTTCTAAGACCATGAGCTGGAAAGGGTAAAAGAGTATTGGGAAATGGTACATAATGAATTAATAAAAATGTTCAAAAGTACTTTCCCAAAAAATCCAGAGTACTTTCTGTTGGGGATAACTAAGACTGAAATTCCCAGTGGTCAAAAAAGGCTATTTATGTAAGCAACAACTGTGGCCTGTGTTAGGTTAGCCCAAAAATGGAAAATGAGCAAGGTCCTAAGCAATGAAGAATGACAGAATATGTACAACTTGCAGATTTAACATATAGAATAAGAGAACAAGAAGAACATACGTTTAGAGAAGATAGGAAAGCATTTATTGAATACAGGGAAAATAATTGTGTACAGCTGAAAACGCTGGTAGCATGAAGATAACTTCAACAGTGTAAATAAGTTTTGATGGCTGTAATAATGGAATACTGAATGGTATAGTTTCTGTAAAATATGCAGGGATTTATGATATGTAAAATGAACCATGGAGAGAGAAGAAGGGAAGTCACTGATATCTTAAGGATGTGAAAATGAGTACTTTAAATGGTAAAACAGAAAATTTAATAAAAGTTATATATATAAGACCATGAGCTGGAAGGTGGGATGCAATAACTTTCAGGGAAACGGGCAAGCTGTTTCTGCAACGATTTCCTGGAGAGCCTGTCTGCCCTGCACCCATTCCACATACAGCTTGAGGGGGAGTGCGTTTCGCTTCTAACTAATCCTGCTTTTTCATTCGAACGCCTGCAGGTGACAGTCAGTGTGACGAAGCCACATGCAACAACGGAGGGACCTGCTATGACGAGGGAGATGCCTTCAAGTGCATGTGTCCCGCAGGATGGGAAGGAGCCACCTGCAACATCGGTTAGTAAATGGTCGTGGGCTCTGCTCATCATAATATATTTTGATGGGTAGGGGGACCTGCGGTCCTCTGGATGTGACTGGACTCCCTTTCCCTGTCCTGGCTGACCAGTGGCCGTACTAGCTGGGGGCTGGCGGGTGTCGGGAGTTCAGCAGCATTATTTCCTTGTAACATTTGTACACGGCCTCGGCCCAGTATACCCGAAGGAGCGTCTCCACCCCCATTGTTCGGCCCGGACACTGAGGTCCAGCTCTGAGGACCTTCTGGCGGTTCCCTCATTGCGAGAAGTGAGGTTACAGGGAACCAGGCAGAGGGCCTTCTCGGTGGTGGCGCCCTCCCATCAGATGTCAAGGAAATAAAACAACTCTCTGACTTTTAGAAGACATCTGAAGGGAGCCATGTTTAGGGAAGTTTTTAATCTCTGATGTTTTACTGTATTTTTGATGTTTTGTTGGAAGCCGCCCAGAGTGGCTGGGGAAACCCAGCCAGATGGGCGGGGTATAAATAATAAATTATTATTATTATTTATTTATTTATTAAATTTATTACGCTGCCCTTCCTCCGTACATCTCAGGGCAGTTCACATTCAGGCCAGAGGTTCGGCATCCCTGATTTAAAACCCTGTGCCGTTTTTGAGAACTTTGCCAGAAACTCTGTTTTGCTTCTTCTTTTTCCAGCAAGGAACAGCAGCTGCCTCCCGAACCCTTGTCACAATGGCGGGACATGTGTTGTCAGTGGAGATTCCTTCACGTGTGTGTGCAAAGAGGGCTGGGAAGGACCGACTTGCACTCAGAGTAAGCGCTTTCTCTCTTTTCCCCTCTCTCTCATATACCCAAACTCTTTCTGAAGTGGCGGTGGCTGACGATGAGAAAACTGGCTCATCTCGTTGCCCTCGGGGATTTGAGATTAAAACCAGAAGGGGGAAGCTTCTTTGATGTGGGGCGTTCGCATCACCTGAATCATTGGGCTTTAATGACATTGTGGGACTGGAGCTTTGACCTGGGCCTGAGAAAGTTGCAAATGAAATAAGTGGAAACAGATGTTTTCGTGTTCACAATGCCGCTTCCCTTCAACCCACCCACCACCCTGGAAAAAAACATTAACTCTGGTTCGTTCACATCTGTTCCTTGGTTGCAGCAGCCTGGCCACTTTGGAATCTGTTGATGTTTCTTCCTGACAATACTTTGCAAAGAATCCTATGTGTGTGTGTGTGTGTTTTAGAAATTTAGTTCAAACCTGTTTTGGAAGGGGACACCTGTAGACAGTGCTTTTTTCTGGGGGACGCACACGCAGGGGTAAGCATACCCCTAAACATTTTGTGACTCTGTTTGGCCTCATTGAGGGCAGTACTTCAATACGAGTAGGAAAATGAGAGTAAACTTTTTTTTAAAAAAGGAAAAAAAGCACTGCCTGTAGAAATCCAGAGTGCTAATTGTGCATCTTTGTCTCTTATCTCTTTGCAGATACCAACGATTGCAGTCCGCATCCATGGTAAGCAGATGGGCCTGGGACTAAATTGCACTTTTAAACCGTCAAATTCAGCATATTCTGTCAGCTTTTGGATCCAATCTTGTATAGAGGGAATTTCATTACTCTTCCATTTAGCCACGATAAGAACTCTTTAAAAGCTGCTTTTAAATGATCTAAAGGATGGAAGTTGAAGGCTGCCCATAGAAATAAATGGGGGGATCCATGATTTTAATGGAGCTGGGATTTGGCCTCAGTGTGTCTACTCCCACCCCCAGCACCCCAGAAACATCCCCAGTGGACACTGATCATTTTCATTGGACCCAGAATAGGGGACCTCTTGGATAGGGGAACCAGGTGGGAGGAAAGGACTGGAGTGGCCAGAAGCTTAAATACAGAAGCAGTCCATGCTGCAACATTTTGTCACAGGTCCCATTTGTGCAACAGTATTCTCTTCTACTTTAAAATCAAAACGGGCTGGTGTTGCTTAAGTTACAATTGTGTAAGCTGCTTTTTGCTAAAGGGCTTAAAGAACATGCATTTGTGAAAGTGAGAAAGCGTCGGCTAAGCAAAGTTCTTTCTTGTTCTCCCCAAACAGCTATAATAGTGGGACGTGTGTGGATGGAGACAATTGGTACCGCTGCGAATGCGCTCCAGGCTTTGCAGGTCCCGACTGCAGGATAAGTATGTGTTAGCAATCCTTCAGCTCTTAACTTTGGCCTAAAGTTGCATTAGAACAGGAGGTGCAATATATGTTGTTGTTTTTGCTAAATTGCGGTTTGCACATATGGCGCTTTCTGTGTCGCTTGGCAAGAGACTCCAGTGGCAGTTCTTTTAATCAAATATAATGCCCCTGAGAGATCTGTGCCCCTGTTTGCAGGAGAAAATGAGTGATGCTAAAAGTCTCCTGAAAAACAGTAGAGTAAGTTGGTTCTAATTTGCCCAGAGTCCCGTGGGTTCTGGTGACCGCTAGCAATCTGTGAATTGGAAACTTCAAGTGTCAAGAAGAGCATGGGTAGGCAAACTAAGGCCTGGGGGCTGGATCCGGCCCAATCACCTTCTAAATCTGGCCCATGAACAGTCTGGGAATCAGCGTGTTTTTACATGAGTAGAATGTGCCCTTTTATTTAAAACGCATCTCTGGGTTATTTGTGGGCATAGGAATTCATTCATTCATTTTTTATTCCCCTCCCCCCCCAAAAATATAGTCCAGCTCCCCACAAGGTCTGAGGGACAGTGAAAAAGTTTGCTGACCCCTGTCAATGCATTTCATGGGGCTTCAAAGCTCTCCTTAGACTGGGCCCTTTCAGAGCTCCTGTGATGAGGAATTCTGCCCAATAAAAAATGTTTCCTAAATTAGTAGCAGAGGGCGTTTTTTGCCTGCAGAACTAGAGGTTGCGTATGTGTTAAAAGCAAGAGGCCACCTCAGGATTTAAAAAGAAGTGCAACCAGGAAACAAGAAATAGTTTATGCCAATAATGCAAATTGGACATGGAGGCCACATTGGAAGGGCATTTTTGTTGAGGGTAGAAAATGGCTGGCAGGTCCCAGGTCCTGGAATCAACCCCCTTAGCTTCTCTAGCAGTGTTAGAAACGCAGATATATAAGCTAGGCTCCAAATAGCTCCTTAAAACCAAGGTTGCAGTCGCCAAAGTGAAATGCCTGGTTGCCATTTTGGGGGCAAGGCGGCTCTAAAGTCTTATTTTTCAAATGATGGACTGGCTGTGATTGATTGATCAGTTACACATCTGGCTAGTTCAGATGACAACCCTCAGTGGTTCTCAACCTGTGGGTCCCCGGATGTTGGACTACAACTCCCATCATCCCTGACCACTGGTCATGCTGGCTAGGCATGATGGGAGTTGTAGTCCAACAACATCTGGGGACCCACAGGTTGAGAAACACTGAGCTAGATTAAGAACTCTGAGAACTTATTTAAGTTCTCACCTGATCCAGGGACAGTCTACATATATATTGGCCTATTCCTGCCTCTTTTTCTGAATGGTGACCATTTAGAACATAGCAATATTCTTCACAACCTATGAGCAGGTCAGTGGGAAGGGGGTAGGCAAAGACAAGCAACAACAAGCAACTAACGTTGTTCGCTGCTCCTGCTCTTGCTTCACAGAAAAAGCCTTTTGGTTCCTGGAATTCATTCCGGTTGTGCAGATAAAATATAACTGGTAGAATTCTATAGGATGTGTTGCTAGTGTGTGGAAAAAGTCAACATTTGAGGATCCTCTGGCATGCACCTCCAGATGGTGGAGATGTCAGGTGCCAGGGCATCTTCACTTGGTAGCAAATGTGCAAAATGCGCACTTGACTCTAGCCAAGACAGAAGATACTTGGCAAGAAACCCCAGAGAGCTAGCCCTGGTACTGTAAAAGGCAGCTTTGTAGGTTAGCATATGAGCTTTGCTGAAAATTATTAAGTAACTACTTGTGTCCTGATTTTCCTTTAAAATCTTTTTAAAAATTTTGAGCAAGGTTCGCAGCTTTACAACTCTTCATTCGGGTGGGTGGGGGGATTGATCCATGCAGCCCATATTAATTAATTACACCATCGTTATTCCTACTAATCTTCTTTCCCCCCTCTGCCTCACCAGATATCAACGAATGCCAGTCCTCGCCCTGTGCTTTTGGAGCAACATGTGTCGATGAAATCAACGGGTACCGTTGTATCTGCCCAGCCGGCCGCATTGGCCCCAGATGCCAAGAAGGTATTGGATATATATATATATATAGTAGTTCGTCGCTTATAAAGTAAAACAAAGCCTCCTTTCCTTCCCAGTAGTTAATATGGATGAGCAAACAATTCCAGAATGTCTATCTGTGCTGGTGCGAAAGCTGAGGTGGGGAGCCTGTGGCCTTCCACAACTCCCATCATCCCTGACCATCGCACATCCTGAAAGTTGGTGCTGATGGGATTTTGGAGTCCCAATTTCATTTGGAGGACCACCCCTAAGACGGAGAATTCAGTGTTATGTTGGAGGGGATGCCAGGAAACCGGGACTTACATTCACATGTGGTGGGGTTGTAAAATATGTACAATTTTTTATGGCAAAGGGTGTTTAAGGAGATAACAGAAATCACCAGGTTAAAGCTGACTGAAAGTCCAGCGGTAGCATTGTTATCAATTTATGATGGGGTGGAAGGTACACTGGCTTTCAAGGACTTGCTCACAAATTTACTGACAGCTGTGCGAGTTATTATAGCTAGGAAGTGGAAGGGGCAAACAGAATATAAAATGGAAGAATGGTATAAAGAGGTGTGGGATATAGCTATTAATGGTAAACTAACACGTGCCATTAAGGTAAGATGGGGAATATGCAGGAGAAATGATTTTGAGGAGATATGTTTGCAGAATTTGTACTGTTAAAACGGAAAGGGGTCAAACTATCGCAAGAGGCATTGAAATTTTGGGAGGTTGGATAGTTACGATGGAATGGTCTTGGTGGCGGGGTGCACAGTTTTATTCTTTTTTATTTATGATTATTATGTTTTCAAAATAAAATAATATTAATAATAATGATAATAATAATAGAAATACCAAAAAAGCAGCTTGTTGAAAAAAATTCTACATATGTACACATCTGTTAAAAAATCAAACCCAATACTCGGGTTCCTTTACTTAAAGTATCTCATAATTCATAAAATGTTGAGTCCAAGGCATCTCTGTGAATTAATCCCTGAACCGCTTTCCCTCTCAGTTTCAGGGAGGCCTTGCATCGGCAGTGGGCACATTATTCCAGATGGAACTAAATGGGACGACGAGTGTAATAGCTGTCAATGTGTGAACGGAAAAGTCACGTGCTCTAAGGTACTGTCCTGGGACTCCTGGCTGCTTCAGCCTGCCTCCTTTTCAATGCGTTCCAAGTGTCCGGCTGCCAACTGAATGGTCTTTTCCGTTCTAGGTCTGGTGCGGTCCGAAGCCTTGCTTGATAAGCGCCAAAGTTCACAGCGAGTGTCCCACAGGCCATACCTGCCACCCTGTCAAAGAGGACCACTGCTTCGTAGGCCCCTGCGACAACATAGGCGAATGCTGGCCTTCCAATCAGCAGCCCGTGAAAAGCACGTGCAACTCCGATGCTTACTATCAGGACAACTGTGCCAACATCACTTTCACCTTCAATAAAAAGATGATGACTCCAGTAAGTTGGTCTCGAAAAGAGCAGCTACACAAATGCCTTTGCAAGCAATTCCAAAGCATAAACTGACAGGGCAGCTTCTACCAGCTCCTTCTGGTACGCAGGCTAAGACCCTACCTGCCCGTGGACTGTCTCACCAGTCTGATTCATCCTCTAGTTATCTCCCGCTTGGACTACTGCCATGCGCTCTACATGGGGCTACCTTTGAAGGTGACCCGGAAACTACAACTAATCCAGAATGCGGCAGCTAGTCTGGTGACTGGGAGTGGCTGCCAGGACCATATAACACTGGTCCTGAAAGACCTAGATTGGCTCCCAGTACGTTTCTGAGCACAATTCAAAGTGTTTGTGCTGACCTTTAAAGCCCTAAATGTCCTCAGCCCAGTATACCTGAAGGAATGTCTCCACCCCTATCGTTCAGCCTAGACACTGAGGGTCTTCTGGTGGTTCCCTCACTGCAAGAAGTGAGGTTACAGGGAACCAGGCAGAGGGCCTTCTCGGTAGTGGTGCCCGCCCTGTGGAACGCCCTCCCATCAGATGTCAAGGAAATGCAACCTATATACAACTTTCTAGGATGCTCCATGGGGAGGATCAGAGGTAGAATAGTGGGAGCAGCAGCAGATGTGACTCTTAGCTTTGGACATCAGGTTTACATTCGAACCACGGGAAAGTTGGAAGGCCACTCTTGCTCTAAACCCATGCGAGCAAGAGGCAGTGCCATGATCAGTGATATATCTCAGCTGGGCAAAAGCAGTTGAAGAGAGTGTAGAATGAGGCCAGTATGTGATATGCAGCCTGGGGAAAGTCTCAAGGCCTTGATGGGCCTCATTCAGCCCTGAAGTCCCCTCACCCCTGAGGTTTAAAAAAGCCATCTACCACAGAAACTACTGTAGCACACCCTTCCCTCCCGTTCCTCTAGGCTACCTGTATGCCTTGCTGTATTCTGGCATCCACCCTTTGGCCCAAGGAGTTTGACTTGCTCACAGCAACTCGGTTGAGCAAGGGATTGAACTTTTTAAATTTTATATTCTTTATTGAAAAATAAAAAGTACAAGTGCACAGAGGGAGACCTGAAGAAACGAGAAATAGTACCTGTGTAGAAAACAAAATGACAGGGACGCGGGTGGCACTGTGGGTTAAACCAGAGAGCCTAGGACTTGCTGATCAGAAGGTCGGCGGTTCAAATCCCCACAACGGGGTGAGCTCCCGTTGCTCGGTCCCTGCTCCTGCCAACCTAGCAGTTCGAAAGCACGTCAAAGTGCAAGTAGATAAATAGGTACCACTCTGGCGGGAAGGCAAACAGCGTTTCCGTGCACTGCTCTGGTTCACCAGAAGCAGCTTAGTCATGCTGGCCACATGACCTGGAAGCTGTACGCCGGCTCCCTCGGCCAATAAAGCGAGATGAGCGCAACAACCCCAGAGTCGGCCACGACTGGACCTAATGGTCAGGGGACCCTTTACCTTTAGAAAACTAAACAGAAATAAGATATTATGTACATTACAAGGGGGGGGGGGGGACTTGTTATTGTAGTTAACCAGACCTTAATCTAATGGGGCATTTATAAAGCAAGGGATTAAAGTTGGCTTTCCCAAAGCCAAGCCTAACTAGCTGCCGGGGGCTACTTCACATTTGACATGTAATAAAGGCGTGCATTTAGAAAAGTATGAACGCTAAAAACATGTCCCATCCAGGTGTACTCATCAGGGAGTTGAGATCAGTCTGAAGTGCCCTATGGAGTCCACACTTGGACCACGCCATATGCAGAGTCAACGTCAGCAGATCTCCAGGATTTAAAATGGGGGGGGGGGGTTCCTCTACCTGGAAATGCTAGGAACTGAACCGGGGACCTTCTAAATGCAAAACATGTGTTGTACCACTGAGCAATGGCCCTTCTCTGGGCAATGGCCTTTATTCCTTGCCAGTGACCCAATTGGCAGTTGTGGATATTATGGCTTCTGCTATAATGTAGATCAGGGATGGGGAACTTTGTAGTTGAACAACCTTTGGAGGGGCCCAACTCTCGTCATCGCTGACCATTGGCCACGTTGCCTGGGACGGATGAGGCTTTAGGTCGACCACAGGTTCCCCACTCTTGACCTAAGAGGCAACATTCTCTGTGGAGTTGTAGCCAGGTGCAAATGGCAACGAGAGAAGTGCCATTGATTTATGTTCTTGCCATATGTCCTCTTCTGTCAAAAGTACTCATGTTCTGTGTTTGCTCTTTTCCCACAGGGCCTTACAACTGAGCATATCTGTAACGAGCTGAGGAATCTAAGTATCTTGAAGAATGTGTCCGTGGAATACTCCATCTACATCACGTGTGAACCGTCGCACTTGGCACACGATGAAATCCACGTTGCGATTGTAAGTCTGATGGTTGGCATGCCTGACTTATCTCTCTAAACGTTGAGACGCATTGCTCTGTCTCAGTGGGAAAGAGTAGGTTCTCTGTTTAACTACGATCTAATTGGATATTGCCCATAGACATAAATACATGTGATATAAACAATAAAACGGCAAATGCAACAATTCAGGTTCTGAAAGCAATGACAAAATACAACCAACATGTACAAACAAAGCTAGTGGCAGCAAGGTGTTGTGCATTAAAATGAACAACAGTGAATCTTGGATGTTAACACATTTGGAAGATTGTGGAAGTGAATTGTTATTATTGGTTAAATTTGTGTACCGCCCTATACCTGCAGGTCTAAGGCGGTTCACAACATAAAATCACAGTATAAAAACACACACACACAAACCAAGGACAACCCAATAATCTGCCCCCCCCTTCCCAAAACATTTTAAAAGTGTATTTGATGTCAATCAGCCGAAAGTCTGGATAAAGAGGAATGTTTTTGCCTGGCGCCTAAAGGTGTATAATGAAGGCACCAGGCAAACCTCCCTGGAGAAAGCATTCCACAAATGGGGAGCCACTACAAAAAAGGCCCTGTTCTCGTGCTGCCACCCTCCGGACCCCCCATGGAGGAAGCGCACAAAGAAGGGCCTCAGAAGATGATGTCAGGGAAGGTTCATATGGAAAGAGACGGTATTGTGGTCCTCAGCCATCAAAATGAATGTACCAGCAGAACCTGGGCGGGGGGGATTATTCTGGGATCATATCACCACCACAAAGAAGATCCTGTCTTGTGCTCACTCATCAAATCTTCCAAGATAGCACCAAGAACAAGACAGCCAATGCTGATCTTAATCCCCAAACAAGCCTATTGGAGGGTTCTAGAGTCTAGATTCCCTCCCAAAGGATGTTTTGAAAGGGTTGGCATTCTGCACAATTCACTGGATTGACATTGGCACTTGGTAATAACTTGATGCATGTCCTGTACTTATAGAAGCTAGTGTTCCCCATATTTTGATGTTAGACCAGAGTCTCCATGTTTGTTTGGTCCTCTTGTGAGCATTGGGTTAGCGATTCTTCTTCACGTTGTCTCTAATACACAATCTTACTCTTTCACGTAGTCTGCCGAAGATATCCAGGAGGAAGAGAACCCGATAAAAGAAATAACAGACAAAATTATTGATCTGGTGAGCAAGCGTGATGGGAATAGCACGCTTATCGCAGCGGTTGCAGAAGTCCGGGTACAGAGGCGACCAATTAAAAGCAAAACAGGTAATTTTTTTTAAAAGAGGGGGCTGCATTTTCTCATGCATTGGTTGAGGGCTGGCAGTAGGAATGGAAATTGCAAGTGGATAGGAAGCCGTTTCACTCATAGCCTGTTTCCAGACTTCCCGGCAAGGCTTATTCTTATGCAAGTTTGCTTTTCAGCACAAATTCTAACATATCTCAAGTTTGCCCTAAAATTACTTTTATTCATTGTTAGACACAACCTCCAAATACAGGATAGTGCTGATTTGAGCTTTAACGAATGGCTTGAACTGACATTTGATGCTTTATTGTGTTTTTAAAACAAGAACAATAAACATTAAAAAGCTTCCCTATACAGGGCTGCTTTCAGATGTCTTCTAAAGGTTACATAGTTTTCCTTGACATCTGTTGGGAGGGCGTTCCACAGGGCGGGTGCCACTGCCAAGAAGGTCCTCTGCCTGGTTCAGAGTAGCTTCGCTTCTTGCAGGCAGGAACCCACCAGAAGGCCCTCAGTGCTGGATCTCAGCGTCCAGGCTGAATGATGGGGGTGGAGATTCTCCTTCAGGTATATGGACAGAGGACATTTAGGGCTTTAAAGCTCAGCACCAACACTTTGAATTATGCTCAGAAACTTACTGGGAGTCAATGTAGGTCTTCCAGAACCAGTGCTATATGGTTCTGTTGGAGCCGCCCAGAGTAGCTGGAGCAACCCAGTCAGATGGGCAGCATATAAATACTATTAGGTAAAATATTATTATTGTTGTTGTAGGGATGCGGGTGGCACTGTGGTCTAAACCACCGAGCCTCTTGGGCTTGCTGATCAGAAGGTTGGCGGTTCGAATCCCTGCGATGGGAGTGACCTCCCATTGCTGTGTCCCAGTTCCTACCAATCTAGCAGTTCGAAAGCACACCAGTGCAAGTAGATAAACAGATACTGCTGACGGGAAGGTAAACGTGTGCTCTTATTTCTGTCACGGTGTTTTCTTGCGCCAGAAGCGGTTTAGTCCTGCTGGCCACATGACCCGGAAAGCTGTCTGTGGACAAACGCCAGCTCCCTCCGCCTGAAAGTGACATGAGCACCGCAACCCCATAGTTGCCATTGACTGGATGTAACCATCTGTGGTCCTTTACCTTTTTTAACCTTTATTATTCTTATTATCATTATCTGGACCTTCTGCATGCAAAGCAGATGCCCTAAAGGTAAAGGGACCCCTGACCATTAGGTCCAGTTGTGACCGACTCAGGTTGCGGCGCTCATCTCGCTCTATAGGCCGAGGAGCCAGTGTTTGTCCGCAAACAGCTTCCGGGTCATGTGGCCAGCATGACTAAGCCGCTTCTGGCGAACCAGAGCAGCGCACGGAAACGCCGTTTACCTTCCCGCCGGAGCGGTACCTATTTATCTACTTGCACTTTGATGTGCTTTCAAACTGCTAGGTTGGCAGAAGCAGGGAGCGAGCAACAGGAGCTCACCCCGTAGCGGGGATTCGAACAGCTGACCTTCTGATCAGCAAGTCCTAGGCTCTGTGGTTTAACCCACAGCACCACCCGCGTCCCTACCACTGAGCTATCTGAGCTGAGTAGTGATGGTGGGTTTGTTGATGAGAGTCACCCTTGCCAGTGTGGTTAAGAGTGGTAGACTCGTAATCTGGTGAACCAGGTTCGCTTCCTCGCTCCTCCACATGCAGCTGCTGGGTGACCTTGGGTTAGTCACACTTCTTTGAAGTCTCTCAGCCCCACTCACCTCAGCGTTTGTTGTGGGGGAGGAAGGGAAAGGAGAATGTGAGCCGCTTTGAGACTCCTTTGGGTAGTGATAAAGCGGGATATCAAATCCAAACTCTTCTTGCCTTCTAGATTTCTTGGTCCCGTTGCTGAGCTCCGTTCTGACTGTGGCTTGGATCTGCTGTCTGGTCACGGCCTTCTACTGGTGCATCCGCAAGCGCCGGAAGCAGAGCGCGCACACGCACACGCCGTCGGACGACAACACCACCAACAACGTCCGGGAGCAGCTGAACCAGATCAAGAACCCCATCGAGAAGCACGGTGCCAACGCCATCCCCATCAAGGACTATGAGAACAAGAACTCCAAGATTGCCAAAATAAGGACACACAACTCCGAGGTGGAGGAAGACGACATGGACAAGCACCAGCAGAAGAGCCGCTTCGCCAAGCAGGCGACCTACACGCTGGTCGACAGAGACGAAAAGCCCCCCAACGGCACGCCCGCAAAGCACCCGAACTGGACAAACAAGCAGGACAACCGGGACTTGGAAAGCGCGCAGAGCTTGAACCGCATGGAGTACATTGTATAGCAGGCAGCCGGGCGCTGCCTCCTAATCCATACTTACCAGTTGGAGTCAACTCGGAGCTTGTAGTTCTCAAAGCGGTTGTGTAATATTTTGAGTCTAAGGCTATTATTTGCTTAGAATCCCTGTGTTAATTTAAGTTTTGACAAGCTGGCTTACACTGGCAGTGATAGTTGCTGTGGTTGGCTGGAATACCAAGCGCTGCATTCCACATCTATGCAAAACTAGTCGAAAGTGCCCCCCCGTCAATTCAGCCGCCGCTGATGCATCTCCTGGCAAGTTTCATCAAGGTATCATGTAGCCTTTTATTATTTAGCCTTCCCTCCCCTAGCAAAGAATTCCTTCCTTCCTTCCTTCCTTCCTTCCTTCCTTCCTTCCTTCCTCTCTCTCTCTCTCTCGATGTCACAATTTATACAGTCCCTGTGGGGAGGGAAGGAGATAAATTTTATTTATTTATTGAAATTAGAGTTCTTTTGTATATTGGTTTTATGATGACGTACAACTAGTTCTGTATTTGAAAGTGCCTTTGCAGCTCGGAACCACAGCAACTATCGAGAAAAAAAGTAAAAAAGTTTATTATTTATTTTTTTTAATTGTATTTTTTTGTGGGGAGGGCAAGTGGGGAGGGATTGGGGGGGACTTCTTGTCAGCAGTTGCTGGTAAAAAAAATGAAGAATTGAGAGGAAATGTGTCAAAAGTAGAAGTTTGTATAGTTATGTAAATAATTCCTTTTTTTATTAATCACTGTGTATATTTGATTTATTAACTTAATAATCAAGAGCCTTAAATATCATTCCTTTTTTTTTTATTTATATGTATGTGTTTAGAGTTGAAGGTGTTTTTTTCCCCCCATAGCATTTGTAAGCTTATGGCTTCTTTATCTTTTTAAAAATCTTTTTATTCTACCCCCCACCCCTTTGTTACATGTTTGCCTACATGCCAAAATTTAAGGTGTTCTGAAAATCAGTTTGTTTTTAAAGGATAGAGAAGGCTTTTGGGGCCTTGAAACAGACTTTCTGTACGATGTTGAGTGCGCGTTTTGTCTTTATTCTTTGAGAACACCTTTGATAGTATCACTTTAAGAATATTTGTTAAGTACCAGCTGAGGCAGTTTAGAATTAGATTAGAATTTTATTTTATTTCCCCCCCCCTCCTGGCTGCTTTAGAAGTTGGGGCATGGGGGAGGAGGGAGGGGGAAAGAGGAGGGCAGGCAGATCATCTGCCTCGAAGCAGTTTAAGGGAACACAACTGAGCGATAACCTTCTGTAGATGAACGTGTGACCGGTTGCATGTAATTAAAGAGAAAAAAAATATCGAATTAGTGTGTGGAGTTGGAAACACCGAAATCTTATTTTGTAAACTCTTGATTTCCCCCACCCCCACCCACCAGCACAGATAGGTGGTGCTGAACCACTTGTAGGTTTTTTAAAAAACTTTTCTTTGTAATCTACTGCATGTAGAAAGTATTCCGATAAGCTAGTTGTTGAATACTTGAACAGTAGAGTGTCCAGTTAAGATCACTGTGTAGATTTGCCATAGATTACACTGCCCGCCTTAAGGAGTGAGGAAATCAAAGTGCTATTACAAAAAGTTGGAAGATCAAAAAATCAAAATTGCAAAAAAAGACAACAAAAAGGCTTAAAACTGAGTAATCTCGCTGGGTAAACCACCGGGATCACGAGGATATCTTGTATGGTAATATTAGTGTTACACGGACATGAAAATACATCTCTGATGTGTTTATTCCTGGCAATAAATCTTGAAAAATATTTATTAAATTTTTTTGTATAAAAACAGCGTGAAGATTGAGCTTCATTAAGATGCTTCCAACATGAATGTCTTCAAATGCTTCCCCCACCCCCAACAATAGCTATGCTATAAAGGTAAAGGGACCCCTGACCATTAGGTCCAGTCGTGGCCGACTCTGGGGTTGTGGCTCTCATCTCGCTTTATTGGCCGAGGGAGCCGGCGTACAGCTTCCGGGTCATGTGGCCAGCATGACTAAGCCGCTTCTGGCGAACCAGAGCAGCGCATGGAAACGCCATTTACCTTCCTGCCGGAGCGGTACCTGTTTATCTACTTGCACTTTGACATGCTTTCAAGCTGCTAGGTTGGCAGGAGCAGGGACCGAGCAACGGGAGCTCACCCCATCGCGGGGATTCGAACCGCTGACCTTCTGATCGGCAAGTCCTAGGCTCTGTGGTTTAACCCACAGCGCCACCCGCGTCCCTCCCGCTTTTCCTTAAGACGTGCCTGTTTTCATCGGAGAAATGTTGGAGGGCATGGGAGAGAAAAAGGTGAATAGACACTATACATCCACTTTTCAAAGAAGGATCGTTCAGGATAGGACACTTTTACTTAAGGTACTTCTATGCCAGCCTTCAAAATAAATTTCATCGGAGCAGGGACCGAGCAACAGGAGCTCACCCCGTTGCGGGGATTTGAACCGCTGACCTGATCGGCAAGTCCTAGGCTCTGTGGTTTAACCCACAGCGCCACCCAGAGCTACGCTATAGGAGTAAGCAATATAAAGCTGTTCACCTCCAGCTCCTACCATGGGGCAATCCAGTGGTTTCATTGGGGTATACTCGGTGGACTACATAATGTGCATGTTGGGATTCCCACCGCCTACCCCAGGTCCAGAAGGAGAACTGTCAGGGCTGTAAACTTGGTCTGTTTTTGGATTGTTCTCACTGAGATCGAGAGGATGACTCAATGAAGGTGTATTAATGACCAGTTTTTGAAAGCACTGGTGGCTAAAGCCCCTTTCCAAATCTGGTTTTGTGGGCTCTCCAAGTCCTGTCTCCAACAAGGTTGTGTTGGTGATGGATGCAAGTGGAACGGCCTTATTTATCTCAACGGTCTTTGGCCTGGTTTCTTTTACGCTTCAACGGCCCTGTCTCACTTTTCTTACATCGTGGAGCTCAAGATGGCAGTCACAAGGTGGCCCAGGCACTGAGCAGAGGTGCTCAGTTTCAGTGGCGTTGGGGTATCCCATACCTTCTTAAAATGCTCTTGAGGCTGTTCTGTAAGGTTTCTTCAAGAAAGCCTTGAACCCAGAATCCTTTTCACCAGCAAAGTGCTTATTATCATGGTGGGAAGTGAGCAGGAACTTGCCCTTCTGAAATCTGTACCTTTACTCAGAAGCTCTGGATTAATTGTGTATCTTTGAGCAAAACACACCGCAGGGAAAAAGCCGCTCTTGGTAGCTTCATCCTTCCATGTTTTAGGGCAGGCACACTTGAAATTGGGCATGGTGGCCGACAGCAATTTGATATTGACTTTGAAATGTGAATGGGTGGGGGATGAGGGGGGGTGGAGAGAATATATCCCAGTGCTGCAGCTAGTCATTGAGTTCGGCCTTTCTCAACCTTGGGTTCACATATGTTCTTGATCTACAACCCTTTAGCATGATGGGAATTGTAGTCCCGCAACACCTAGAGACCCAAGGTTGAGAAAGGCTGAGTTAGATGCAGACTCAGTTGAACTTTGGTTTTGTAGAAACTTAGTCTAGAACAGTGTTTCCCAATTCAGCTGTTTTTGGACTACAACTCCCATCATCCCTAGCTAGCAAGACCAGTGGTCGGAGAGAGATGGGAACTGTAGTCCAAAAGCAGCTGGAGACCCAAGTTTGGGAAACGCTGGTCTAGAAGATCCAACCACCTCACATATTCTGGAAAATGATCACCTCTGTGATAGACACTGTTGCTGCAATGGAATATAAGCGGGTAAGGAAAATTACTGCACTGAAGTGACTAAGCTTGAAGAGTCAGGAGTTTCTACTATTCCCCATGTGTACCAACAGCTAGAAGCGCCGTCCTTACAAGCAGCAAAGAGATGTGGGGGTGTCGCTCTTCTTAAAATACACTTTGAGATTTATTCTCCCCAAACACCCCCCAAAAAGCACACAACAGCTTGCTCTGGATTCTGTGGCAGCAAACCAGTTTATAAAGGTAGTGAATTCTCTGCCAAAATGTCTAAACATACAACTTGCTGGAAAAGCACGAGCCCCTGTCATTAAAAACCAGTTTTAAGATAGATAAGAGAAGCGCCCATTCCCCGCAGCTAAGACCAGCCTTTTCCAACTTGCTGCCCTCCAGGTGTTTTGAAGTACAGATCCCATCCGCCCCAGCCAGCACACCATGTTGTCTTAGGATGATGGGAGTTGTAGTCCAAAACAGGATTTACGAACAGCATTCTGGCCCGCTGCTGTTAGGAAATGGCCTTAAGAGAGTTTAAATTACTGGATCACGTAATGTTTCAGCTGCCTCCTGCAAGCCTTCCTTAAGAGTAGCCCTGCTGCCTTCCCAAGGAAATGGCTCTCAAGATTAAAAGCACCACTCCCAGCTTCGGAGAGCAAAGAGCCCCGGCTTCATTCATTCCCATCAGATTGTATCTGCCATAGTCACAAGGACAGTTGTTCATTTTGTAGCTGCCTCCCACTGCAGGTTCAAACAAACCAATTAGAGATAATGAGTCCTTTGCAGGGTAACAAGCAGTGCTTGTACAGTGTGAATGCTGAGCTGAAGAGCAGCAAAGTCCCTTTTGCTGGTGTGACAGGCTCATGGCATCCCAGATGGCAGCAAGACATTAAAAGGCCATGTGCATCACTTCTTAAATCTCTCTCCTCCCTATAAAGTGGAGATTTTCCCTAATGGAAGTCTGGGATTGCTCCACACGGTAAAGGTAAAGGGATCCCTGACCATTAGGTCCAGTCGTGGCTGACTCTGGGGTTGCGGTGCTCATCTCGCTTTATTGGCCAAGGGAGCTTCTGGGTCATGTGGCCAGCATGACTAAGCCGCTTCTGGCAAACCAGACCAGCGCACGGAAACACCATTTACCTTCCCACCAGAGCGGTACCTATTTATCTACTTGCACTTTGATGTGCTTTCGAACTGCTAGGTTGGGAGGAGCAGGGACCGAGCAATGGGAGCTCACCCCATCGCAGGGATTCGAACTGCCAACCTTCTGATCGGCAAGTCCTAGGCTCCGTGGTTTAACCCACAGCGCCACCCGCACGCAGTACGACACTTCAACTGTCTTCTAAGCAGCAAGATTAGTGCAATGCGTTATATGTACGGCCATCTCTGAAGACAGTTTGGAAACTTCAGCTAGTGCAGAATTCAGCAGCCAGGTTGCTCACCGGAGCAAGACGGTTTGAGCATATTACACTGATCCTGGTCCAACTGCACTGGCTCCCAATTAGTTTCCAGGCCCAATTCAAAGTGCTGGTTTTGACCTATAAAGCCTTAAATGGCTTAGAACCGCAATACCTCAAGGACTGCCTCTTTCCATATGAACCTACCTGGACCCTGAGATCATCTTCTGAGGCCCTTCTTCGTGTGCCTCCTCCTTGATAGGTCTGGAGGGTGGCAACATGAGAACAGGCCTTCTCTGCAGTGGCTCCCCATCTATGGAATGCTCTCCCCTGGGAAGTTCGCCTGGTGCCATCATTACATACCTTTAGGTGCCAGGCAAAAACGTTGCTTATTAACCAGGCCGTTGGTTGATCTGTTTGACATCCTATACCCTTTTAAACTATGGCTCTTTTCGGGGCGGGGTGTTATTGGGTTGCTGTTTTTATTCAGATTATATATGTTGTGCTCTTTTCTCTGAACCGCCTGAGACCTCCGTGTATAGGGCAGTATGCAAACTCAATTAATAATAATAAGATCACTTCAAAGGGATTCACTGGAGTGTGTGGAACAGAAGCAGCAGGCAAAACAAGCCACCAGCCATCTCCTATGGGTAGCAAAGGGTCACATGCCACTTGCTTAAAAAGGTAAAGGGACCCCTGACCGTTAGGTCCAGTCACAGACGACTCTGGGGTTGCAGCACTCATCTTGCTTTACTGGCCGAGGGAGCCAGCGTACAGCTTCCAGGTCATGTGGGCAGCATGACTAAGCCACTTCTGGCGAACCAGAGCAGCGCATGGAAATGCCGTTTACCTTCCCACCAGAGTGGTACCTATTTATCTACTTGAACTTCAATGTGCTGTGCTTTCAAACTGCTAGGTTGGCAGGAGCTGGGACCGAGCAACGGGAGTTCACCCCGTTGCGGGGATTCGAACCGTTGACCTTCTGATCAGCAAGTCCTAGGCTCTGTGGTTTAACCCACAGCGCCACCCGGCCACTCGCTTAGAAAGCTGAAAACTGGACCTGCCATTTGCCTCTACCTCTAGGGAGATCTGTAGATCCTTTCTGACCTTTGGGGTGTATGCATCTCTCTGGGTGGGTAGGAAGGCTTTGGTAGAGTACCTGAAGTCAAGCCTTCTCAGCACATTTCCATTGAAAAGAAGGCTCCCTTTGAGAATTGCCAGCTGCAGACACAAGATGGCAAATAAATATGAGAGACAACGGTGCCCAGCAGGGGTGGATACAAGTTGAAGAGAGGTGATCTCTCCCTAACTCACCTTAGATTAGCTCCAAAATGATCCAGGGTCCTCCTGTTTCTCCAGAACATCTTGGATTATTTTTTATAAAACCATCCTACAATGGGATGGGGAAAATGCCCACTCATGCCTTCAAGACCCCCTTCGTGAAGCCCTCCAAGCCCATTAGAAGCATGCCAGTTAGAAAAGCCACTGAAAGTGATGTGTTTTGTGGCTGGGAGAAAGCTTTGAAGTTAAGGCACTAGGTGGAAGAAACATCATGGACAGAATAATTGCCACACACAGGAAGAATATAAGGATATATAGATTGAGTGCCTCACTTGCAGTTTCATAAATCATTTAACGTGTCAACACGAATGGAAGCTGTTAATATTGCAGTTGTCGTTTAAGGGATTATCTTGACTG